ATACAGAGGCAGAGGGAGGTGTCTGACCTCTCAGTTGAATGGGTGTAAAGGACATGGAGGAACTCACGGGCTCAATCCATTGACTGTTCCTCCGACAGACAGAAGAGTCTTCAGAGCAGGATTACTAATAGAGAGAGAGACAAACAACATCTTAACTGTAATCACCACATCAAAAAACAACACAAAGTTTACACTTAAACCTATACTGATGGCTTTGTACTTCTCCACTTAACTCACTTGCTGATTTGTTTCATTTGTAAACGATAGGACTTACGATGATGGTTCTCTGTTGCAGACTTCTATCTCGGGAGCTGTACAGGAACTTGGGATTGTTTCTGATTCTGACAAACCTTACCTCCACATATGTTTTTAATCTGATTGTAATTTTACCCTGGCCATATTCAACTGTAAGTAATGGCATATTTTACACTTTACATATTATATTCAGCACATACCATATCTCCACTCATTCGCCTGTACTTACTATTTATTGGTTTGGAGTCGCCGACATGCCTTTCGATGAACTCAAATGAATTACCTAGTGGCTATCCATTACATCAAATCAAAAATAAATCAATTTTAATTCCAGGTTGTTAAGCAACAAAATAGGAAAAAAACCAAGGCGGTGAATACTTCAGCAAGGTACTGTACATCCCGTCCTCCCTACACACAACCCCATGGGTGTATTGTTTATCCAGTTCATTCATCGGTACACACTATATAGCTATAAGTACTCACTTTTATTATAAGAAATAAGAACGTTTCTGGTCTTTCCAAACAACAGAACTGCCTTGTCAAGTACGTTTCGGGGGAAACATATTTCCTCCAGGATTACGTTTGTCTGTTAAGTCTTATCATAGAATGAGGAAGTCCACGAGGAAGGAGGTGTTTCTTTGATTCACGCCGATTTATCAATTTGATCTACTGCGTTGTGTCATGTGATCAATACATTGACTTTTACTGAGTTTGTATTGGCCCTTTATTCATAAACAGACATCACTGATATGGTCATTTATCCTCATTAGATACAATCACAGACGCAGTCTGTCAACTGAAGAGATGGAGCAATACTAATGTTAGCCTTGGACTCATGACGGTTTAAACGACCGTGACTAAATTAGCTCTGAATTTGAGAAAACTATTAAGCAGAAGGAGTCTCATGAGGTTTTTCTTTAATATACTTTTATTATGAAAATGTGTTAATGAGGTTGGAAATGTATATACTATCTTGCTTTTTAAAATAGAACATGGTTTTACCTGACGACTCAATATGTTTCTAATGTGTAAAATGTTGGTACTTAAAACAGGATTCCAGGCTGAGAATGGTTCTGGGTCTAAAACCCAGACAGGAGACCATCTGTGGGAGGAAATGTAATGTAGGTCTTGTTTTGGCTTGAAAATGGATATTAAAGACACGTTCACTCACACATTCTTGAGGTTGTTGAGCCTGCTGTACTGCTGCTCATCATTCCACTCGATGGGGATGATCTGGTTGAAGCTGTTGATGGTGGACAGAGCGTAGATGACGTGTGTGCACAGGAAGGGGTCAATGTTGTCCGGGGTGAATTTGGCACTGCTGGGCCTGTACTGGGCCCAGTTGGTCATGTGGCACACTAGTCTATTGGATGAGGCTGAGGGACGACAGTGGGATAACAGCAATGAGACTTACCTGTGTTTGTTCTGACACTTTGATCATGACGGTGTGAGGAAAAGTCAATGTCTGTACAAAACTTATGCTTACCAATGTGCAAAACAAGCAGAACGCCCAGAGCTACAAAAACAAACAGAGAAAACAGAAGGAGAGAAGATGTGAGACTTTGGCATTATAGCCATGTGATATATAGAATGTATACATACACGTCCAAGGAAGGAAAAATAGAATGAAACAAGCAACTAAAATTAAAGTTGCTGCGAAACAACCAAACCAGAGGACCACATAGACCATTGTTGCTCTATTTTGTGGGGGACAGGTGATCTGGAGAAACAGAAGTGGCGTACATGATGAAGACTCATTTGATTGATGCAGCTTTCGTTAGGTGCCTATTCAAGTGTTACAACATTATAATGGAGGTATATGAGGCTATTCCCTTTATGATGGAAGTATATGAGGCCATTCCCGTGCTTTATTATGTCTCATAAGTTGTTGCAGCAATTTTTGGGTTGATACCATTTTTGACCATTTAATCCTAGAGGTGACATTGATGTCAAGTTCCACAAAGTAGTCTCACTACAATGAAATGGCTACTATGAGGACTGACTTCATCCCACATGAATACAACTGAGCTCATTGGATCCACAAGAGGCTCAGCTGTCCAGTCAAACCCAATTTATTTAATTCCAAGACTGTTGAGGGACCGTATGCAAAAATATTTAAATGCACCATTTTAGAAAAACACTTCTTTTCTCCCCAGACTGCGTGTGATTATTAATGGGCTCGTCTGTAAAGGAGAGACTCATGGGAACCATAGAACCCATTTTCATTCACATATCTTGAGGTGAGAGGTCAAGGGACCCCTGTGAATATGGCTATTCCAGTTATTTAGCCCCCTTCCGAACAAGCTAGCAGGACATGCTACCAATGGGTTCATTAGATCGAGTAGTTTCATATGATATATACATTCACTAGCTTTAAGACTGAGCCCGCTAAAGCCTCTTTAAAACACTAATATTGGAGGCAACATTCGATTAGTTCAATTATTTGGTTAATGAATGTGCAAATTAAACAGTAATTATGTAATTTTATTCATTTGAGAGCAATTTTATTACTTAATATCAAATATCTGCTAGATTACAATCTAGGATATGACTTGATTAGATAGTTATGTAATATAATAACACATTTTAACAAAGTAACATAGACTGAATGAATGCGAGTGAATGAATTAAAGAGAAGAGATCTTCCTACGTCTCTCCTGGAGTTTTTGAAAAATGTAAACTATATCTGTATAAAGTTATTGGCATCTTATATGTATATGTATGTGTGTGTGTCTTTGTGTGTCCATAACTGGTAAACGGAATTAAACTCATGAAATGTGTAACTGGTTACTGTAACCTGTTAGGAGTTCCCCCATTGTGCTCTCTGAAGATCCAACCAATCTGATTCAGCAGTGAACCTGTGAATGATCACAAAACATCTACATGAGATGATGGTAAAACACATGAACAACAAAAGCAGATATCATTCAGCTACTGCTGATACAATTATTATGTTAACTTTATCTTTGCTCATTTGTTTTCTATATTTTGTAGATATGTAATTAAACAGCATTTTTTCTCAGACAGAATAAATAAAGACATCACTTTAAACAGATGTATTGACATTTAGCACTATTCTTTAACATATGCAAAACAATTTAATGATTATTAAACAAAACTATTCCATAAGTTAGTCAATAATGAAAATAATTCTCAGTTGTCGGCCTACAGCCGCTAATAATAGCTGTACAATGTAAGCATTCTTCTCCTTTTTTAAAATAGAAGATGTAATTGTTTGCACCTGAACACATGAAGCAACTTGCAGCTAAATGCAAGTTGTATACGACACAAATGCAAAGATGGCGATGATCTCATTACCTTTCTTCAGGAGGAGGCGAAGCAGAGTCTACAGCTCGGTGGTGTCAGGTCAGATTTATATTTGACTCACTAATGACTAATAGTCGGTAGCAAAGTGCAGCTGATAAGGGCCGGTGGTGGTGGGTGTCTCACTGACGTGCACAATAACTCCACTTCCTGTTAAGACTGGGCTAATTAGACATGCTGGGAAATGCGCTATCAGTTCTATTACTACATCAAAGCTCCTGTGGTGATGTGAAGTGTGGTCAATGTGCAAGAATCAGTGAGTAATGATCATCTGGGTTTTGTTCAGTGTTTGGACCGAGGCAACCCCTCTATGTGGACGGGATTATTGGAATACTTTGTGCAATCAAATCAGATTTTGTTGATTTTCAATTAGCTCCATTGTCAAACTTTTCCTTTTCTATATCTACACATTTTAAACCTCTTAAACAGCTGTTGGACCATTAATCATTGGTCCAATGACACCAACAGGAATTGATGCAAACATCAGTAACAGGATGGTCTCACATAGCCAGGCCTTTCTGCATAGAGCTGTATCATCGCTGAGAAAAGCTCTTGGGCGCACTAAGCACAGGATGTTGCCTTTGCAAAACAGATAGTGGAAGTGGAGAAGAAGACTTATACCCACAGTCTACATCCACTGAGTCAGAGGTGTGACATTAGGATGGCACTGTCAATAAAATCCCGGTTCTATTTAATTTAACCCTATTTTCTCACTGAACATTTTTGTACAATGTATTTTGTCAATTTTCTAGAGTAAACACACATAATATCGTCAAAACCTGCTTAGAATATATATGTAGTGTGGAACTACTCGGAAATTTGCTGTGGAAATGTATGGTCCTCACATTAGGATAGCTAATAACTTTGCCGATCCCCTGACCTTTGAACACACTTTGATCCATAGCAAGCTTTCTGTTCCTTAGATCAGTCTAACCTCAGCAGCCCTTCTGCCTCCAACACCAACCTCAGGGGCCTTGACCTGGTTGGTGTGTTAGTAGTTGTTGTTTTTTGTGAACTGGGCTTATGGCCTTCACTGTCTCTTTAATTGTATCTTAAAGAGTTGCCTGTTACATACCGTTACATTTGTATGTATATGTCATATGTCAATAAAATAGAGAATGTCTGACAAGTAAACTTGGTTCCCTGAGAATCAAAGATATCTTGCCAGCACAGGTGTTTTATAGGTAAACTATAGAGCATCTTACCCTGTTGAAATTTTTAAAAAATGTAATGGAGTAAAGTGATAGTCTTTTTACTCAGAGAACCAAGGTCAAAATGTAACCAGACGAAATTTCAGGCGGCATGCCAATGCGGTAAACTTGCATTCTCTCTAGTGTCCATCAGGGGGCGATATGGGATATATGGGAAGTTAATCCATTGACACAACTGCGAATGTAATAAATACACACGTTACGCAAATACAATCCCAAAGTGTTTATTTGAAATCATATTTACAAGTAGCACCCTCCCTCCCACCCCTCCCTCACATCTCCATTCAATCACAAATATGAAAAAGCCCAAGGGCTGCATTATCCACTGCATTCAGCCAAGCCATAGGAAACAGACTCGCTGTTACCACCTTAAGTGAGTGATGACACCAGTCAGTCCGCCAGAACATTCAGCAGCTGGGCTCAGAGACACGGTGACATGACTGTATGGCTCCTAAATGAATACTAAAGGCATTGGGAAAAAACTTTGTACACAGTAAAACACAATAAACAGGACATCATTCAACGGTTCTGAAAGCATCTCCACCTTCTGCTCTAGTGCAGAGATGAAGCAGGTGTGTGAGGCTCAGCATTTCTGAGTGAAAGACAGTGGTGGTGATTTCTCGTATATTGGTCGAACCCAAATGTAAACCTCAGTTCAAGATCATGAAACTAATAATCATGACTGTCTACAGCTAATAGATAAAGTGTTATTCTAGGTGTACGTGTTTTGACATTTGTGATATTTTGCCTATTATATCACCAGGCCTTGGCATGTAGTTGATGGGTAAGGGATTGGACATTCCTTTAACCAGCAATTTGGGTTGTTGGGGTTTTTCCTACAGGGTCTTAAAACTTTGATACATACAAAATCATTTCATACAAAATGATCTTTCCTAGTTTGCCTAATATATTGGTTTTTCTTTTACCCAAACTAATGTAAATGAAATGATATTGTAAGAGAAAAAGTATAAAGCATGTCATGAAGAGTTACATTTCCTGACAAAATAGAGAACATCAATCAAGTATTCATCCTTAGTCATCATTCATGAAGGCAAAACAAGTAAAACTAAAGTAACACAAAAAGGTTTTGGTTGTCCGAACCATTGAAATATTTAGGCTTGTGAGTTCCTTTGGATCACCAATTAAACTCACAAGCTTGTTCACACAATGATTCTGTCATTTTGAAAACATTTATTTCGTCTTCTTGAGTGAGTGTAAGAATAACCTATCCATACAGAGCACAGAACAAACTGCTGAATCTGTATCTTCAGGATAGATCCTGTGGTTTCTACTGTGATTCACCAACTCCTGATGCTTTGGCTTTGGAGCAGTTGACCTGAAACAGTTACTAGTTTTTCCAGAGCTTTCAACTCTCCCTAAGACTGTTTCTAGGGCCAAGACTGAACCTTCATGCTGTATGTTGTTAAGATTTGAGATAGCCTGATATAGTGGGAACTAAAACATGGCTGTTATAACAGAGAACAATGCTGACCAGACCTGACCAGGACAGAAGAACTGTGAGGAATGAGTGACAGACTGAATGCGCACACTAGAGGTCACATCCTTCCTGTAAACTGCAGTGAACCGGACATGTTACATAAGAGCTGATAGATGCTGACAGGATTACAATGAGAACGATATATGACACTGTTAACTCTTATAACTATAACTATATTCTCTGATAACTCTTTCATCTCTAGCGGTGGCTAATCTGTTTCATGTTAATAACCTACCAGCATAAAAGCAGCTGCAATAAACACGATTAACACTGAACAGAGGCGTTTTTACATTGTTTCAAACAGTGCAGGCACAACAAAATGTGAGCAAATAATGAAATACTCCTTTCATTCATCCAATTTGACAAACCCCAAAATGAGACATAAGAAATATAAAATGTAAACATTCATTTGGACCGGTGACGTTTTTATGTAGCTTTCCATAATTACAGCTAAGACAAAACACAAGTAAGCATAAAGACATTAGCAGGAGCTGAAAATCCATGATAAAAAGTTCTTCAGTGCTTCAATGAGTGACTGACTCTGTGTTCACGCTATGAGCAACAAGACATAAGTTCAACAATGGGGTGCTGCTTTTTAGGGGAGTTGTGGAAAAACAAGGCAATGTTGTATCCTGACACAAATGCTTACATGGACAATGATGACTTTCATGTTAACAGTGTACAGAATTTGAAGTGTACATGATAAGCTGCATTATGAAATTCCATGTTTTTCACAATTTGGGGAACAGGCACTTTACAATTGACCCTTTGCTAAGCACCGCCCCCTGCTGCTACGCTAAGCTGTCCGAGCCACCATGGAGCCCACCCTGTCTCTAACTGCACACCCTTGAAGGATTTGTTCATCTTTATAAAAACCTAAAGTGATTTCAGAGAGAATCTGCATTTGAAGGAAATATCCAGCAGCCAGTAAAAAAAGTGTAAAAGTGAACCATCACATCACCTGCTGATGGAGACAGAAGACAATGAAATGAAGGAACAACTCTGTTCCTGTAAAGCGGGGTAGATATTTATTCACTGTTACAATCATTTAAAAAGCTAAAGCAGCATGTGTATACATTACCTTCAGCAGCTAGCATAGCATATGAGTGCTAACGCTAGTTAAAGATGCGCTAACGTACTCGGCTAATGTTAGCTCCATCTGTTTTCCATCTGTTTCTCTTACAACCTCTCTGGGTAAAAAGTATCACTATTACACCTTTCACCACGACGAGCTCCAAATCCACTAAAGCAGCCTGAACATGAAGAACATCTGAAACCACCGATGAGTCTGTGGAGCAGAGACAGATAACTGTTAGAGCTGCTAGCTAAAGCTATGTTATGATTGGCTAAACTGTGGTTGAGGGACAGGACTTAGCGAAGGGTCCATTATGACGTACTTACCAAGCAGTGAAAAATGCACGAGGAGCTTAATATTGTAGTTGCAGACCTTTACAGCTCTTTACAGCACCCACAACCATTCAGAAAACAGACACTTATCAGTCAAGTTGCTCTCAGAGTGGACAGAACAGGCAGACACCCATCACATGTAAGACTGCACTGTATGTATACAAGTTATACACATCATTTATTCTATGAAAAATATACACCTGAAGTCTGTGTCTCGCCAGCTACAGTTTGGAGGACGAGTGTATGAGACGCGTCAGCCACATATGTGATGGTCCCGGTAAGGCATGGTTTCACTGACACTGGTACATAAATACACAACCAGACAGGGATTCCCTGCTCCCTCAACCCTTTCAATCCATCCAGCTTAAAAAAAGACCCTCTTTGTTGTTATTTTTATTTTTTTAAATGAAAACTGAAACCCCTCCTTCCTCACCCACCCGTTCAATCCCTGCAGTGCTACAATCTTCCCCGACCACCTGAACCCACCCCAACCCCAAACACAGGCTGAGACACAGGACAGCTTTAGCTTCAAGCCATTCAAAGCAAAAAGTCCACAGATCGGCTGAGATCACAGGCCGGCCAATGACACAAGAGGGAGTAGAAGCAAGCCGGTGAGGAGGTGGAGAGGTTGACTGGACAGTGCGGAGGAGGCCTCGTTCTGCACCATCATACCAGTTCCTGTGTGAGAGACAGTATGCAACAAGTCAATTTAACATGATGTGACATTTGTGAATGTAACATGAATATTTCCAGCATTTCATACTCTTAATCAGTAAACTAACAGGTTCAAATGTGTCCCAGTTAATACTGAACGTTAATAGGGCCGGTGTTCGAAACTCAATAGACCCTTTTCATGCTGACATCACGATTACATCACAGTGTTGGCTGTAAGCAAAACAAAGCAAAGACTGGATGCAAACACGAATCACCTCAGAGTAGTGGGCTAAAGTTACACATGGGAAATCATCATCAGCTGTAAATCAAACTTTATCAACTTTATCACGTGTTTGAGAGGAAAAACTGATTCAAGAATAGCAAGCTATACTATTGGGGAAACGTTTCAGAGATGGAGAGAAAATGTAGTCAAAAGTTTAGCTTAGCCTTCTGCTAATACTAGTTAGCCATCACGGCTGCTGCATCGCAGCGGTGAGCTCGCAGCTAATGCATAAGGCTAACCTATTAGAGAGATGGAGAGAAATGTTAACTATTAGAGAGATGGAGAGGAATGTTGCCGATAGGCCAAACTATTAGAGAGATGGAGAGGAATGTTGCTAATAGGCTAAACTTGTAAGGATTACAGATACTAGAACCCAAAAGCACAACTCGGAGACAAGATACAAGTTCAGTTATTTTACTAGAGTTCAGGCAGGGTCAAAACCGGGAGGTCGGGCAAACAGGCGAACAAATCCAATAAGGGGCAGGCAAAAATCCAAGGTCGAAAACAGGCAGACAGGGTCGGAACAGGCAGATCATGAACAATATAAAGGTATGCTGGAGAACTTGGCAAAAACACACAAGACAATCTGGGAGGGAAGTGCAAGTGAGGGGACCTAAATAGTGAGGGCTAATGAGGGAATGGGCTGCAGGTGAGATGGGTGTGGAGGACCAGGTGAGGGGAATGAGAGATGATCAGGTGTGAGTGGTAGAATCTGAAATGACAGGAGAGTTAGTAAAACAAGCAGACAGGATGAAAACAAACTAATATGAAGGGGAATTTGTGACAAAACTATTAGAGAGAAGGAGAGAAATGTTGCCGATAGGCTAAACTATTAGAGAGATGGAGAGAAATGTTGCCGATAGGCTAAACTATTAGAGAGATGGAGAGAAATGCTGCCGATAGGCTAAACTATTAGAGAGATGTTGCTAATAGTTTAGCCTTACTGCTAACTGTGAGCCTTTGACTGTGGTTAGTAAAAGCTAATAAGGTGCATTTTCTCTTCATCTCTGAAATCCCCCTATAGTATAAGATGTAAGGTTGCTTTGCAGTGGAGGCTGCTGTTGCCAGTGCTGGAATAGCAGCTCATTCTGCAGGATGTATATGGCGTCGATTTCTCTTCGCACACTTATTTTCTCTATCAGGTGTGTACAAGTCTAGTCATATAATGGGTGCCGGAAATGAGTTAGAATTTATCCGATCCCCTTGTCTTGAAGTCAATAGGTTTTTAAAAATAGAGTTTTTGGTTAGATGCCTGAAATAAGGTCTGTGGTTAACACAAGCTGAAGTCATTTATGAGCTCTCTTCTACATTATAAAATACCCCTCCAGTGAATTTCAAGTGACTTAAAAAAGTGGTTGCTAACAAGTGGCTAAATGAGGCTACAAAACGTGGTCATGCCCAATAGTCCGCCTTCAGCCTTTTTTGCTGAACAAAACGTTTAAGCATCGAAAACTTGTGTTCCCCACAGAGCTAACTTTCTGCAACAATCCAAAATTCAAAGGAAAATTGGCTGTGTTAGCGTCTGGAAGTCGGCCAATGTTTGCTATTGGTCAATTTTAACTTGCTGAAGAAACATTTATGACTGGACATATTTTAAAATCTATCTCATCATGTTTGGTACCCACCGATATGCATCTGTAGCACTAAAGATCAACAAGAGTCAAGTAAGGTCACATCAAATGTCTGGTGAGGTAGTTTAAATCAAAATGTTGCCAATATTGAACTGTTTGATTTAGGTTAAAGGGTTTAAGTTGTTGTACAACATTTAAAAAAGGTGTTCTGTTGAAAAAAGTGAATATTTCACAAAATAAGTTATCAAAAGCCTCATTTGGTCCTCTTGACCGTACCTTTATAACCAAAGTACCTTAAATGTCCAACCATATAAACTCTCACTCTCCCATATTTGTTTTAGATACTGCTGACATGTTTATGATCAACATAATAGATATCCTAATGTTCCTATCAATAAGATCAGAAGACACGGCCTTGGACGTCTCTGAGGAGGGGTTACTTCCTTTAAGAGCACCGCCTATAACCTATTACTAACAGTCTTATTAGATCCATCCATCCATCCATTTTCCTCCGCTTATCCGGGGTCGGGTCGCGGTGGCAACAGGCCAAGCAGGCTGACCCAGACTTCCCTCTCACCGGCAACATGTTCCAGCTCATTCTGGGGGATCCCGAGGCGTTCCCAGGCCAGCTGGGAGATGTAATCCCTCCAGCGTGTTCTGGGTCTTCCCCGGGGTCTCTTCCCAGTTGGACGTGCCTGGAAAACCTCCAGTGGGAGGCTCCAGGAGGCATCCTAATTAGATGCCCGAACCACCTCAGCTGACTCCTTTCGACGCGAAGGAGTAGCGGCTCGACTCCAAGCTCCCTCCTGATGACCGAGCTCCTTACCCACCCTACGGAGGAAGCTCATTTCGGCCGCTTGTAGCCGCGACCTTGTCCTTTCGGTCACGACCCAGAGTTCGTGACCATAAGTGAGGGTAGGAACGTAGACCGAGTGGTAAATTGAGAGCTTTGCCTTCCGGCTCAGCTCCCTCTTCACCAAGACGGTCCGGTGCAGCGCCTGCTTTACTGCTGCAGCCGCACCGATCCGTCTGTCGATCTCCCGCTCCATCTTTCACTCACTCGTGAACAAGACCCCGAGATACTTGAACTCCTTCGCTTGAGGTAGGCACTCCGTCCCCACCTGGAGGGAGCAATCCACCGGTTTCCGGCAGAGCACCATCTTATTAGATGTCATTCAACTATGGAGTTGTGACAACATTCATCAATATTTGAACATAAAACCCAGAAATCTATACATAATCGTGTAATTATGTAATACATTTGTCTTTTCTGTTCTTTTGTTCATTCCGGAGCCCTCAGGGGTCATATGTGGAAATCCATGCAAACCTGATGGACCCGTACGCACAGATAGCAAGCACAGCGTGCATGTTTGACCCCTCCTACTCTCTGTCATCACCTATACTGTGTTTTAATCAGCCAAATTCACAATATTGTTGATCTTATTGACATGTTTTTCCTTTTCTGAAATCTGACGTGTTGACCAGCAGTCATTAACAAGCTGCTGGACTGCAGATAAAATCATACGTTTATGATATACAGTGTGACCATGAACATCCATGGGTTGAATCACTGACTGGCTCAGTCATTATAGGGCCATGGTCTTTGTCTTGCAAATGTGAAAGTGTTTAAGTGCTGACCACTTCATGAACATTTAAACAATCACAGCAGACTAGTATCTTAAATATCTTAACAACGTCCACGAGAATTGTCCTCCACATGATACTGGCACACCAGCTATTAATAACAAACATACGCTTTGTGTTCATTTCATTTGTTCATCAATGTCTATTGTACTCTGCTTATTCCACCAAAACATCCCCGTCTCTCAGAGGAAGATTCAGTGTGTGCTTCTCAGTTCCTCACCTGAGTCCCGGGACACGATAATCTCGTGTGCTGGCCCGTCCCCTCCTTCTCCCCAGGACCGGATCTCCAACACCACGTAGCCGTTGTCTTTTGGCAGCGGCAGGCTCATGGATGTCTTGGTCTTGTCCAGAACCTTCAGAGAGTTCTGGCCCTCGTGTTTGTACAGAACCTGACACACAGAACACAGCAGGTCCAGATTTAAGTTCAGACCTCATCGTTACGACACAAAGTGCATTTTTATACTTTTCATCAGTTCAGAATTCACAAAGCTGCTGACAGTGTTGTTCTGTGATTTGTGCACTGCAACTAAAACAGCTTGTGTTGGAATCAAAGGATCATTGTTACAGCTGTTATCTTTTGATGGTCATGCATGAGCTGGTACAAGGCTCATCAACATGATCTTTGATTATCTTGTACTGCCTCTTTATTGCTTCTCATATCGCACATGTAGAGCAGATTACACGCATTGTGATTGGACAAAACATCAGGCAGCGTGTGTGTACTCATGCCGAATTACATGAGGATGGTTATTATTAAGCCTCTTAACATGATCATCACATGAAGTTGACAGCTAAAGTTGTGTGTTCATTGTTAATAATGTAACATCAGGCTACGCAGAGCCCTCTATAGATCTTCACTCTGATTTATGCTGTTTTTTGGTCTGACAGTTGTTTTGAGCATGCGAGTGTCATAGACACTTCAATGGGAAGCCAATCGATCGCTGCATTTCTATCTTGAAGTAGTCTGGGACCATGTCACCCTACACATCGTCATAAGAACATAACAAGTCAAACTGCAAGTCTTGTAAGTGTCTGAATGCTAGATGTTAAAGCAACACAGCATACGAACCATCATTTTTTGCCATCTTGTTTTTTTGCAACCATGTGACACGAGAGAGTGGAGCTAAGTACAACCGCACGCTACAAGTAACTGTAATGAACTGAAAACACTGTAAAAGACTTAAAGTTGTAAGACGAAAACACGGACAACTCCTAAACTGGACAATGCCGCGGTAGCGACCTGTCAATCACCATGTAGCCCCGCCCTAAAGCATCCTCTGCTTTATGGTCTTTTTGACTCTAAATGAACCATCATTTACTAAATGAACATCATGCTGTATTGAAGAAGACTTGAAACTAGAGATTGAGACCATAAACTCATGTTTACAATGTTTACTGAGGTAATAAATCAAGAGAGAAGTAGAGTCATTTTCTCATAGACTTCTATACAACCAGAGGAGTTGCCCCCTGGTGGACACTAGAGAAAATGCAGGTTCAAAACACTTTAGCAATGGCTTCACTTTTCAGACCCGGAGTTTGCCTCTTGATCTCAACAGTTTACTTAACTAATTCCTGTGCAATTAGTGATTTTTACATAGCCGAGGCCGAGTCCTATTAGGACTAATATGTTAACATTCAAGGTGTGCAGTTAGGCCAGTCTTGCTTGGTACTGACTTTATAATGATTTATTGTTCCACATTTTTACCAAGTGAAACTGTAAGACCTGAATATTTTAGCACACAAGTCTCATGTCACGTTTTAAGGATGTGACGTCTCATTGCTGCCTCTCAAGTCTTCACTGTTGTCACTACAGTCTGACCAGAGTTTATTAAGTGTCATTGCCTTAAGTCCACGCTTTAGAAAACTACTACCTGGGAGAACCCTTTTAGAGAGTGCCGTCTTTTATGTTACATGAAGACAAACACAGACATGCACACACTTCTAGTCAGACAACACTCACTTTGTAGCCCAGCACTGCTGACTCATTGTGCATGGCCTTCACGTGATCCCACCTCACCGTTACAGATGAGCCATCAGCCTTCCATGACACGTTGCCCGGACGACGATTAGGAGCTGTAATGGAAACACAAACATGTTGAAAATGTATAGAAAAAGAAAGAAAATGTGATTTTGGGTGTGGAATAAAAAAAACAAACGTTCAAAAGAAGAAGAAAAAGTTAAGGTCTGACCTTGATCTTGTAAACTATGGGAACTATAAAAACTAGGTATCTCTGCAATTCTACTTCATATTTGTGTCTCACCACCTTGTGGAAGTGCAGCGCTAAATCACTGCAGCAGCACTTTAAAAGGTGCAATGTGTAAGTTTTGGCCATTTGAGTTCAAAACATAAAAAGATGAGTCCTGTCTTGTAATACCATCATGTACCATCCTGTAGCGTCCAGTCTGTCCTCAGTCCAACATGTATGCTCTGATTGTTTGTTTATTGGTTTAAATCCAAACAGGCAGAAACGAGAAAACAACTTACGTTTTCGTTTTGCCCTCTTTTCGTCCAGGAAACTACTTCGCCAGGAGACAGACCTTCAGTTAGCGGTTAGCTGTAGCAACTCAAATTCAGCCTGGGATCAGACCCCACCTCTGGGGGTCTGATCCCAGGGGACTGCCCTGACAACCCAACGGATCAGTAAGCTTATTGTTGCTGAAGTTAGAGAGGTAAGACACAGAACTCAGGGGTTTGCGGCGGCTCAATTGGAGTTACTATACAGCCGCCAACTAAAGGTTTGTCTCCCAGAGCTGCCGACTGCTCTCTTCCCGACAAAGTAGTCTCCTGGTGGCGGGTCACAGACCGTACAGCCCCCCTTTAGTGACACAGTCAACACATAACTGGCTATCATAAACTATAGGCCGACACCACATGTGACGAGTATCAGACAGCAGTGGTTTTTTGACCGTCTGTCAGAGTTTCTTGCCCGGTGAAATGCTGCCCCATATTTATTTGGAACATATGAACAGACATAACACATTGCACCTTTAATATATAATATAAACTTTATTTAAAATGCCTGTAAATACATTCACTGTGACACACTTAGAGGTATCCATTAATCTCTTAATCACTTACATTATCACTTGTGTATTTACCAGAACATTAGCTTGTTTATGTATTTATTCATCTATATTTCATGTAAGTACAGTATATCAATATACTGTATGTGTGTGTCTACATTTATTGATTCATGTCGCCTGTACAAGGTTTGAGCAAGCCATTATTAAATGCTATATTATGCGCTAGGCAAAGTACATGGATACATTTGATTTGAAGTAAAAATAATGTGGTCTAGAGATAAGTGGGGTCTGTTTTGACAGGTGTAGGTGTACCAGCTGACGTGGCTCCAGGCAGAGGAGTGAATGTTGCTCTGCAACAGGGATCATGTCTAATCATCCATTTGAATATGTTTACAGCCACAGACCCAGGACGTACCGAGCACCTACTCTACTTCCTGAGTACTGAGAGTAGCCACTCGCTGCTGCTGCAGCTGAGAGGGATCATCCATTTCTGCCAGGAGGAGAGGCGGAGGAGGCTACATGGCTCATTTAACCTGGATGTGTTAGTCACAGGATCTTTGATGCCTGAGAAGATGACTCCTGGGTGTGTCTGGGTGTATTTATGCAACTCTATCTGTGCTCCAAGAGCCTTTTTATTAAGTGCACTCTCACACCTCTGGTTCGGTTCATTTGGTCCTAACAGATGACGATCAGCAGACGGATTCAACAGTGGATTCGCTTTTGAATTTGAGCTAAAAACATGTGCAGCCACATGTGCAGCCACTTTTAAAGCAGTCTCAGTATGGCTTGATTAAGATTGAAAGCAGCCTTACTAAACTGATATGGGCTCTTCCTGTTGGATACTTATTATCTCAAATGATCATGCTCTCATTGTTGCGTGAGGATAATTTCAAACTAAAAGCAAAGCAATTAATATTCTGTGAATCTGTCCCTCTTTGTGACCCCACAGCTTGACTTGTTTTTTGCTTAGTGAGCGGTTTCCACACATGTGGCGGTGTATGCATGTGTCGGGTACTGCAGCCGTACGTGGTTTCCTGGTGGTGACGGTGGTGCGCGGCGAGGGCGGCCCGGTGCCGGCGCTGTTGTACGCCAGAACGGCGACGTGGTACCGAGTGCTGGGTCTCAGTCCGGTCACTCTGGCTGTTGCTTCCAGTCCCGCTGTCCGCACTCGGTCTGCTGCCGCTTCGCGCTCGTGCTGCCGCCAGTACCGGATCTGAAGACACACAGGGACGCCAAAAAACACATTTACACACATAACCTGAGACACTGCTTCTCATTAGTATGGTTTTAAAATAAAGTCACAGCAGCAGATGCACTAAACATGTAAATATGTTATCTAGTGTTTGTGGTGGCTATCTAATGAGGTCATCCATCTTTAACAAGAGAAAAAGAAAGTCATTATTTCAACTTTACATCAGCAATTCCCAATACTTTTAAGTGATACATTTTTTATGATCCTGAAGAATCAAAGTTTATGAAGTGAGCTTGAATTATGGCAGCTCGTGGGCTGAGATCAGCTAATAAAAAGATTAAAACTTTAACAGCAGGTCAGAGGGCTGCGTATCAATGAACTGGTTCTAGACCAGTACAGCCATGTCTAAAACTAAAAGACCAAGGTTTAAGCTTGTTTTTTCTTTTGCCACCTCAAAAACACTGTAGCTGAATAAAATAATTTATTCAGAAATAAACTGAAAACAGACACAGGGACAAGGAACCACGATTCACGTATGCTGTGGGGAGCCTGAACGGATTATGTGACTCATGTACTACTGTAAGGATATAGTGACAGTCTGAGCAAATATGATACAAAAGTTATTTTTAATATTTTTATGTTACCAACTGAACCTTTAACCTGAGTATGTGGTTTACAAGTATGATCAAATGTATTATAATTTCCTAACGTCTTTTCGCCAAATGATTCGCGTTGTATCAATGCATGTTGTAAATATTGGTCAAAATGGATACAACATAAAGAAAGGAAATAGTTGGCATTGTGATTTTGTTTCTTCCTCTCCTCCCTCATCTTTATGTATGTGGTATTATCACATTTATAATTCTTTCCTGATTTCTTTTCAGTGGGTTCTCCTGGGTTTGTATGTGTATTTGTTAGATACATGTTATAAGACATTAGTCATTTTAGAGGACTAGATGGACTGAGACTGATATGGACTTGAGGTGATACTTTCATTCGTCCTGGGATTATTGAGAAAATAAACATATGAGCTGTATTTTATTACCACTGCTGACAAGTCAATGTTCTGTACCCCTGGGCTTCCCTACAACAAAAACTACTCAGATAAAAAACAGACACAGGTCCAGCTGATGAGACATGAGACAAAATGCATCTGTTTTCACATTAAAGGGAGCAGAAATATTCCTGATAATTAAGTGTAACAATAAGTGAATTTAAACCTTCTCTTATATTATTATTTGAATGTCAAATATTCACATGAGAAAGAAGACATTTCATTCATGTTCTCACCCTGCTGTGTAGCTTAGTAAGATACTGTTGATTGACCTGGACTATATGTAGAAATATAAATGCATGTCCCACATTTCTCTGTACTTTGTAAAACAAACTGGTCTGTTCATGACTTAATCAGGTCATCTTTACCCCCTCTGAATTTTACCGAACCACTTTTCTCTTCCGCTATCTGGTCAGGTTGGACAAACATCCACATGTGTATCCATGCAGCGCTTCACCTCATATCCTCTGAGGATGCCGTTGGCGCTGAGCTGCTGGACGGGCTCCCAGGACACCTGGATCTCAAAGGCGGTCAGCGCCGTGGCGTTGATGTTTGACGGTCCCACTGTTGGCTCTGTGAGGAGAGGTCAGGAGGTCAGTGTGTGCAGCGCACTTCATGATGTACAAACTATGAATCAGTGAACTCACAAGTGAGCTGACTGTGGTCAATCTACTAAAGGATGCCCTCTAGCGGTGGAAGAAGATACTGCAGGTGACCCTGTGGTAAACCTTTCTTTACATGTTTCCCTCACTGCTGGCCTGCTTCCACTGTATGCTGCTGAGTATTATTCCCTTAATGTGCCTCCATTCACAATAATATATCTCTGACAGAAATAAAACTGTAATGTCTGTCCAGAAGGTACAGTAGGTAAAACACCTCATAATAATACAGTGATGTTAGAAAAAGGTTGGGAAATATCTCCATGACAACGCTGGGCTGTGCTTATTTCGGAATCTTGAAACTAGGCTTGTCCTACCAGCATCCTCTGATCCTGTTTATCTAAACAGAGCTCATGGAGTGCCCTGGAATCACCCAATGTTAGGTTGGATGAAGCCCGTCTCAGTGTTCTATCTCTGTGGTCTACAACAACTAATGGAAAGACTTGTAAAGTCTCCTCCAGTTATATCATTATTATTATTATTATTATCATACTGGGAGTTACAGGATTCAGCGAGGATACAGATCAGGGTGTTATGTGGTGTGACTATAATATAACAGCTAAAACATGGCACACCTACTCATTAATAACAAAGTCATCCATAGAGCACACTGTGCACAGATGAAGCTGCAACCCAGTGACACTTTTACAACGAACTCTTCAGGACTATTTCTTCTCATGTTCTGACTGTTTTCAGAGTCATGTTGTTAAAGTTTTAGCAGATCTAACTGAAGATGTCTACCCAATCCTTGTCTCTGTCTTCTTAGATAGTCCTGATACGAGTCTGAAGTTGATACAACGGAGAGTGTTTTCTCCTGGATTCATGGCTTCCCTTGGTGTATGCCATCATACTGAAGTGATCTACTGAACACAGTGAACCATGAATGTATGACAGCAAGGCTGCTACAGTCGAGGCCTGGCATTCCTTCACCTCCTGGGCACTGCCGAGGTGCCCTTGAGCCAGGCAAGAACAACAATGCTCTTGTGATTGGCTATATTTATGGTTAACTCTCCTTGAGGCTTCCTGTTTAAAAGCCTCCTTACATGTCATCATAATGGTATTGTCTGTTGTCCTTCTGTTTGGATTACATGTTTTCTTGGTTTAATAAAAAAAGAAAACTGCTGGGCAGTAATGCAAAATATCTGATTGTATTTTACATTATTTATCTATATATTTACAAAAGGCTGGTTGACTGCAAGGATGCCACATTCGAGCACAATTCTTTGTATATTTTGTGAATTGTGTTTTGTTTTGTAGCCGACTGCTGCAATCATTTATTTGACACTTTACCTTTTGTTGTAAAATAAACCCAATAGTCAATAATCATTATGATAATGATGTTGATTGTAAATGTTATCTTGAAAATAAGCTTTGTAACACAGTGTTTACTGGAGGTGTAGCACTATGAACCTGGTGGTGAACTCACCCTCCTCTGCAGAGTAGACCCCAGCGATCTGGCTGAACGGACCTTCTCCTTGCCGGTTGTAAGCTTTGATCTTCACCTCGAAGGGACTGTACGGCGTCACGCTGTCGTTGTAGTAAACGTATCGGGACGACTCCACGTGAGGGACACGCACCACCGTCCAAGATTGTGTGTCCTTCTTCCTGAATGCCAGGACGTAGCCAAAGCCATCACCATTCTGGTACTCTCTGGCCATGGGCTGGAAGGTTCAGCAGAGAATCAAGATGTGGCCCTCTACACAGACAAATGGGCCCAATCCCAATGTTCCAACAGACATCTGACACAACTTCCCTCTGTGTGTGTGTGTGTGTGTGTGTGTGTGTGTGTGTGTGTGTGTGTGTGTGTGTGTGTGTGAACTCTTAGGGCTGTCCCACTGCAACATCAGCAAGCAAATGAGGTATCTCCCTTTCCTCTAAGGATAGGTTCACACTCTGTCGTAAGACGATAGTCAGCTGGACACTGATTATTTCTGTTCATACTGGTCACTGGGAGAACACGTCCTACTGTAATGCACCTGGGGATAACTCCACGGGTCTCATTCTTTAAAAAAAAATGCATTTGTGAACTGAGAACCTATCCTTTACGTCCATAGCCCTGCAGGTATCATATGATGATCCTACAGTATGTGTAGAATTAGAACATTTCTGTCTTTGGGCATTTCGAGTGGAATAGTGGTATATTGTAATGTATATGAAACATTAGTTGTATATAAAACACGCAGTGGTGCTATAATCACATGAAGGTTCAACATGTAGATTACTTGAGTGAGTAATTTAAACAGACAGTTGCATATTAGGAAGTGTAGGATTCAGGGACTTTGATCCATATAGGGACAGGAAGTCAGGATGCCTCTGCTGCTTCACGTTTGGCCATTATTGTGCAAGACCAGCAGTCTAACGGAAGTGTAATACTTTAAGTTCCACTTTAGGTGAATGACAGCTTTTTAACATAATAAAGGGGAATGTGTACAATATACATCCACTCACCGTCCAGGTCACAATGAGTTCGTTGCAGTCTCCTCCTCCTCCTCCAAGACCACTGGGGGCCACAGTGGGAGCTGAGGTCCAAATATACAGACACAAGACGATATACATGATATAATCCACATTATCAGTGGATCAGTGGAAAGTATGAAACAACATTATGCTTTCAGTTCCCTCACCCACATCCTGAATCTGTTTTCATCTCACAGCATTATTTGTTTAATTGGCAGACACACAAACGTATTAACATAATGGTCATCATAACATTTGACTGTGTAGCCCGGCGGCTCCAGGCAACACTAGCAACTACTAGCATTACACACCTGAATCTCTGACTGAACTGTCGGCTAGTGAGATGCATTGTGGGTAATTTAGACACCATTGACTTTAATGCTAAGTTGAGTGCCCTTATGATTATAAACAATTCAGAGTTATGCCAAAAATGGGCAAGTTGCAATGACTTGAAACAAAGAACATTTTGCGCCCTTAGTCCCATGCTAATGTGGAGGATTTCAGTATTAGAAATATTATAAGTAGGATTAAATAACACCCCTAGTGGTGAGTAGAAGTGTCACAGTAATAATAATGTCAAAATAGGTTAAAAGGTCACAAAATATTTACTTGTGGAATGTATTATGTTTACAATATTCTTACTTGTAGAGGATATTATGTTACAGTATTTTACTCATTGACTGTATTAAACCATAGAAGTATAGTCACTAAAGGTATTAAAACACTGTATGAATAGTTTTGAGGGTCAGAAAGGGAACATTTTGAGTGAGACTTTACAGAGGTGCAGCAGAGAACAGAGGGATGGACAACTGACCACCAGGACCTGAGGAGGAGTCCGGACGACTTCAACCAAACACTGAGATGATAACTGCCCCAAGCCAGGAGGGGCTATTGAATTTCGGCCAATCACAGAGGCTGATACTGGACATTTAAACTTTCGGACAGAGACTTTTAAATATAGGCTTAGTTCCAGAGGGTTTTTGCCAGAGGTCGTGCCGTTACCACTCTGGGTAGTTTACCAGCTGGGCTGGGCTATTTAGTGGGCCTTGTGAGAACTCTGCCCTGGGGACATATTGATATCGATAGAGTAATTCAGTTTGCAACTGTTCTAGCTTCTCTTGTTTATTAAATACTTTTTGATTGTTAACCGGATCCAGTTCATTTTTGGTGCGACTGGAAAGTCCAGCGGTCTGGGTCTCCCCTGAAAACATCTAACCCTAACACTAACAGCTCCCTTAGTCCCATGCTAACAGCTCCCTTAGTCCCATGCTAACAGCTCCCTTAGGCCCAGGCTAACAGCCCCCTTAGGCGTAGGCTCTGACGTGTCGGAAATGAATGCAGCGCACAGCGTATAGAGTATAAATGCCTCCGTTTATGCTCAGAGCTTGTGCGCCGTCTATGGAGTCTTGCGTTTGGTATAAACAAAGCTCAGCCGTGCCTGGGGCTTAGTGCAGTGTGAAAAGCCTGAACAAGTACCGGATGCGACCTGTGGCCCCTCACCTGCTTGCTGTGTGCGGATGGTGTGAGAGGGCATGCTGGGCTCTCCGCTGCCCAGGATGTTGCTGGCAATGACCTGGAATTCGTAATCCATCCAGGGCATCAGTCCCATCACATGAGCCGACTCTGCATTCCCCTCGATGTTTACCGGGTCTGGTGTTATTCACATAGAAAGATATGTGAAGCATCAATAATCAGTCTCAATGTATGTTTAATCAAAACATCTAAAAAAACATAATGCCAAAATAAATTCCCACAGTTTCCAAGTACTGATGTAGTCGTCGCATTTAAAAAAACTGTAACCAGTCGATATTTGGTTTCATACGATAAAAATGAACAATTTATTTTAAATTGGTCACAGGATTGTTTCAGTACCACACACACACACACACGCACGCACGCACGCACACACACACACACACACACACACACACACACACACACACACACACACACACACCTGTCCTCATCTTCTTCCACTCTGATGAGAGCGATGATCGGCCCATGATGACATATTTGCCGATGGGACTGTGGTTATCGTAGCCACGACTCCACCGGAGCTCCACCGACACCTCGGCCACGTTCTTCACCAGTAAACCACCAGGAGGTCCTGGGGGGCCTGGACACAACGCAAAGATTTTATTGATTTAATGAGTAAATTAAATGATTCATATTTTAGAACTGGAGTAACTGGAGTTTGATCAGTACTTCATGATGTAGATGTCCACATGACTCACATTACACTGACAGCAGTACAAACTGTAGTATGATCCACAGACTGGGCGATACTACATCTATATACTGTAGTTCAACACAGTACTTGCTGCAAGAACTGTGACAAACTGGCATTTCTTCATTTAGTGGAACTGTTTTTAACATTTTAATTGAAATGTTGTAGTTCTTGATGGTCAAAACAGAAAACTGCTAACGTTTTTTTTACCAATAACTGCAGTTTCTCACATAAAATAATCTAATTCAGAACCAGTGTTTGCCCTCAATGAAGCCTACGGTTAACATGTCTGTGTTTTCTTTCTGCTGATGTTATCGGAAAGACTTCCGTGCAGCACTCTCCCTGAAATCGATGACACGTTGTTCCCTCCGTGTTTTGCAGGACTGTACGACTGGATTTGATGTTCATTTCCTTGCAGCGTTGGGAGATGGGATTTTGAGGAAAATGATTGTACGCAAGTCATAGCCCCGAGAACACAATCTAACATGAACAACAGATCTGTGTTGAAATCAGCAGGAGAGCTAGTTAACTTTAGCTGTTAGCAACCGGTGGGCTTGTTTGGCTAAGCTAATGGCCAACGTTAACGGAAGTTCCATTGAGTTACATTATGATGTGTTCAAGCTCTATTCAGTAAAGTGGGCGAAGTTCAGCTGTAAAATATAGTTTTTGGTGAGAGGAAATAATGAGCTGTTTAACGTTTTAACGTATCTGCCAATACGCAAGTTCAGGTATCGGAAGCAGGCAGTAATGAATGGCATTGATGCCTACAGCACATGTGAGAAGAGAAGACTAAAACCAAATACTAACTGTAAGCGACACAAACGGGACAAATTGTTCATTATGGAGCATTTTAATCTTACAGAGGGAAAACTATAGTACAAATACGAGCATTATTGTACCTCTGGCAACACAGTTTCTTTGTCTTTTCTCTGTGATGGTAAATGCAGTGACCTTGAGGAAATGACATGAGAAGACAGCTCTGAGGCATCTTACCTCGAACCACTAGTTTGGCTGAAGCTGAAGCACTGTCCACTACAGTCTGAGCTGTGCACGTGTACATCCCTGCTTGACTCAGCTTAGCGGTCACAGTCAACAGGTCACCAATGTTTTCCTTCTAAAATGGCGCACACAGAGCAAATGAGTTCAACACTGTGTTAGTGAGGAGTGTAACAGACAGGAAATACAGTGATGAAGAGCTGCATGCTGCAGCAGACCTGACCATAACCAGCTGAGGTGAGGATTACAGGAGCTAATTTTCAGCTAGACCCACCACTAGCTAATGGCAGGGTGTTATCACATCAACACTCATTAAACATAGAGACATAAAGAGCAGGGACATGAAATGGATAGTTCATCTCATTTGGGAGCTTATTTCTGTCGGGCCCTGTGCTCAGGTACCGTGAAATGTTCAACTTGCCGTCCTGAAATGAAGTAATTACGACTGGAAAATATCCAGCACACAGTGGCGTGGTCAATTTAGTCTCACTGTTCAAGACTAGAATTACCGCCTCACGGTTGTATGCTACCGCCAACCAGTCAGTTTATATCCATGTCTGTCCGACATGTCATCACGTCATCATTTTATCCTATTAGACATTAGTGTAAAATTGTCATAGTTATGAATTCTTGAGTTATGGCATTAACAACAGGTTTTTTGAGTTCACAGTGACCTTTGACCACCAAATTCTAATCTGTTCATCCTTGAGTCCAAGTGGACAAATGTGAAGAAATTCCATAAAGGCATTCCTCGCGGTCACGAGACACAGACGGACAACCTGACAACACACTGCGGCTGTTGCCGGTGCGGAGACATACAAAATGCGGGGAAACCTTGTGTATGTTGGTCATGTCTGTCCAAACATTGGCACCAGTGTAACAGCATTGACTTTCACCACCAGATCTACAGCAAATAAATCGTCAAAACCATATTAGCATATTAATAAACAAGTAAGCCCAGTGGTGATGAGGGAAGCCTCGGCCACACTGCACTGCATTTTAGTTGGACTTAAAGGGAAATGTAGAACTGTGAGGCAACAAATACTAAACACCTGATCCTCAATCCTATAAAAGTCCCAGTACTGTAAGTATTGGATGAAAGCCTGATGTATATTCTCCCTCTGTTCCATAGAGCTCCATTAAAAACACATCAGTGAGTCACACTGTTGCAAAGGTTGACATGTTCCTTTATTATCATGAACACACACACTGCAGTTTATTTTGACTCAATCCCACACACACACACACTCGTATTGCTGCCAGAAACACTCACTAGAGCACCAAAAGTGGATTAATCCACTGCTGAAAATAGTTCCCAACAAAGGAACTATTTCCCATCTGTTGGGAGCCACAGACAGTGAAGGGAAGTGAGGAAGCACAGAGAGAGATGGTCTAACACGTTGTTGGTTTTGGTCCTTCAGTGGGATTAATTAACGATGAGAAATCTTATTTCTTCATCATCATGTTACTAGATGATTCAGTCACTTCTCTTTAACTACATCGTCAAATAACACATCTTTGTACTGGTATGAACTAAATTATTCAAATCAGAGAAATTATTTGTAAAACAGGGAAAACTGCTAATTTACTTTCAGAGCAACACAGCTTCAGTTTTCAGAGTTTGGTGGAGAGCGTAAAAGGCCGATGGAAACATCACCATAAAGCCGTGCAGTGTTTATCATCTTCAGTAAAACCTTTGATCATAGGAGCAGCAGTTGATTTGCAGTCATTTCATGACAACGACACTAACAACCTCAAAGCTCAGGTGGATGGTAACCATGGTCATTTGTTGTTTGATGTGTTGAAGCTTAAATGGAACTAATGAGAGTTTTCTCAGCCCTCAACTATCAGTGAAGTCCCCTCTTCACAACCAATAATTTTACAAACACACAGCAATGATGAACATCCATGCAGTAGAATTGTTCTGCAGGGCTTCCTTCTCTCTCCCATGCCTCACAGGACTCACCCCCTCCACCCGGTGGTACGGTCCGGCAGAGTCCTCCAGGTCCAGCAGGACCCCGTTGAGGGCCCAGGTGAAAGTCAGGTCCATGGTGGGGTCGTGGGAGGCGTGACACTGCAGCGTCACGTTTTCCCCTTGGTTGATGTCGGCATTGGAAGGAGCCAGCGTGATCTTAGTGGCATCTGCATAAAAATGAATGCTAGCTCAGATTCAAAGCGGCAGTGCTGTGAATGTTCCTGGTTCAAGACTGGTTGAGTCTTAGAATTAAAAAGAAAGATAGACTTTTTTCACAGCAGACCTTTCGTCATGTCCTAGTAGGAAAAGCAGAGAGCTGCTGTCCAATAGACTTTTGTTTTAAGTTAGTGAAATGACCTGGAAGTATTTAAGTGGCAGCTCCGGTAAGAGCTGGTGGAATCCTCTAAATGCTAAGGAAAGGTGCTTCGGTGCTTCCTCTCTTTACTCCTTTAGCAGAGGATACACTGGACCATCCTTGATCAAAGGAAAGTAGATAATAACGTCCAACAATTCCTTTCGACAGCAACAATTAAAGGACACATATCATGCTCATTTCCAGGTGCATACTTGTATTTTGGGTTTCTGTTTATTGCCAAATACGTTACACAAAAAAGGAATTTTGCAAGGTGAATGGTGCATAACAATAAACACAGTGCAATTGTATAAGACATCATTTAAAAATAGAAAATATGAAAATGAACAGTAAAATATGATGAACAAACTAATAAACAAATAAGAGTATGTTAAAACAAGTATAATATTTAAGTATCAAGTGTATATTACAAGAGAAAGGATGTGCAAGGGTGTGTAACAGTAAAACAATTGTCCTGGGGATGTACGTGTCTGAGTCAGTGGGGGTCTTTATTGATCAACCCAACTGCAGATGGGAAGAAACTGTTCTTGTGGTGTGAGGTCTTGGTCCTGATGGACCGCAGCCTCCTGCCTGAGGGAAGGGACTCGAACAGTTTATGTCCAGGGTGAGAGGGCTCGGCTACAATCTTTCCTGCCGGCTTCAGAGTCCTGGAGGCGAACAAATCGTTGAGTGATGGCAGATTCCAGCCAATCACCCTCTCAGCAGAGCGAATGATGCGCAGCAGTCTGAACTGTGGCTGCAGCGTACCAGACGCTTATGGAGGAGCAGAGGATAGACTCAACGATGGCAGTGAAGAAGTGCACCATCATTGTCTTTGGCAGGTTGACCTTCTTCAGCTGCCTCAGGAAGTACATCCTCTACTAGAACATGTATCCATGTTTTAATGATCTAAAAACTCTTTATTTTTCTCATACTGTCTGAATATACCTGTACCCTGTCTCAAATGCACAATTTCAACACATTTCAGTGGATTTTCCAAGTTGATGTCCAAAACATACACCACAACTGGAAATAAACTGGGACACATTTAGAATGTGCACGTTTAATAATGAAATGGTTTATGTATTGTAAAGCTGTGACATCACAACTGTTCAGAAATCCTGACGCTCGTTTAAAGAAACATTTTGTGAATACCAGCTGTGTGGTTATGTCTCTGTGAATTGAGCGTTTCAATACTTTTACAGTGTTTACAAAGCACTTGGACCTGCTTTATATGAAACAAACCTTTAAAGCGACGCACCATCCGGCTGTCAATAACAGTTGCTGTCACTGTTTCGTTCATGTTCTAAATGGATCAATTGAAGACATCTTTCTAAAGAGGTGTGATCGGTGTTGAATTGTACAACACTGAGTTTGTCTCTGTAATCCAGTGGCGGGCCGTGCATTTTATACCTGGGCCTTCACTGCTGTCCTACAGCTGAAACACCACTGAATAACCTCATGATGGCGCCACAGCTTAAATTGTAGGAAATATAATATTTTCTGCGCTCATATAGGAGACAACGGGCTGTGTGACCTCTGAACCGGAACAAAAAAAAAACACAAAACAAACAGCTGAGGCCCCGCACTTCTAGGAGGCTACGCTAAACTAGCTAACAAACAATAACTCTGCGCATGTCGGTATGCTTCGTAATTAACGGACAATGCATATAGTCCAAATCTATATAATTAACACAATGACAACAACAAACTCACAAGAACCAGTCACATATATTCATATGACAACAAAGCAACAAATCAATCTAGCAGACCTGCAGCAACATGCATTCTGCTACACACTCGAGGGCCATTCAGATATTAGATGTAAGAAAACAAACGCAGTTCACTGACCAAATGCTGTTCACTTAAAGACAAACTCCATCCTCCTTTCTCTGATGACAAAGAGTTTAATCCCACGGTTCAATCCCAACTCACAAATCCGTTTCTCCTCCTTCAGCCATTGAGTGTTAAAAAACAAAGCTAGGTTAAAAAAAAAAAAATCTACACCAAGCAAAATGCAAAAAATGTCATAATTTCTTCCATATCTTTCAATTTGAACTCTTACTACTCCGACTAAGCTTTGCTGACTACTTTTTGCTGCACCTCACTGCAGTGTTGCACATGGAAACTGAGCTGCACGTAATGCTGACGTAGTTGTAGGCCAGCTAGCAGGCTCTGACACGTCAAAGAATACGCCCAACATGTCAAACTAAAGATCTGATTGGTTGAAGACTATGACAATCAACAATATCGTCCCCATTCACTTAAACTGCACATGGATTCACTTGTGAGTCTGCAGGCCTCTGCCTCTCTTCTTACCTAGAGACACAGAGGTGAAATCTGATTGGATAAAAGCTCTACTTAAAACAAGCTGCACTGGAAGCAGAGCAACTGAGGAAGACAGTAGCTGTGCAATGAGAAAATAAGATAATGGAAAAATATTTTCATAAATTATATGTGTATTTATAAGTGTATTTAAGAAAAATTATTAAATTATAAAATAGCTATAACTTTGTGATTCTGTTTAGGCCAGCAGAGAAGGCCTTGCAGGCCCTGACGGCCCACCACTGCTGAGATCATTTTCTATGTGTTCTAAATAAAGTTGCCTTTTTAAAAGAACACATCCACCATAGCATAAGCGCATTCTGTGAGCACAGTGTAAGCCCTTATTAATTCTCCTCCACATCTTTGTCTCTTTGACTGCAGCCCGTGTAGTTAGTAATATCCTTGTATCGTGCATGCTGGCTCAGTGTCATGGCTTTCAGGGACTCTTGAAGGAACTGAGCTAGCTATAAAACGTGTTTCACCTGCTGTTTTCTGCAATGACAAGTCAAAAAAGTAAAAGTGACAGAGTTGGTCTTCTTAGAAGGTGTATTATACCTCCTTCCTCTTTAAAAAATCTACTGAGACAAAACTTTTTGGGCCGTTATTTTTCTGATACATCCTTATTAGGGCCCGAGCACCAACAACGTCGGGCCACGAGGTCCCTATTGAAACTGTAGGAATTATTATTATTATTATTAGGGCCCGAGCACCGACGTAGTCGGAGCGGAGGACCTATTGTTATTCGATTGTTTATTATTATTATTATTATTCTTAGTGTTTCGTCGCAAAAAGGAGGTGCTTGGGATACTGGGACAATGTCGAAATTTGGCACGCAAGCCAGAATTTGCGAAAATTGCAATCTGATTGGGGTGTCCAACTGCGGTATGAAATATTGGCTCGATAGCGCCCCCTATTGAGTAGCCCCAACATTGGGTTTCACCTAGCTGTATGAAATTTGGTAGGTATGTGGAACGTGATGAGACGCACAAAAAATCCTCTTGGAGTTTTTCATTAAACCAAACAGGAAGTCGGCCATTTTGACTTTTATGACGTTTTTTGACCATTTCAAGGCGTCATACTTTAACGAACTCCTCCCAGAGATTTGACCCGATTGACTTCAGATTCGGTCAGTATGCTCTTGAGACCTTGGCAGTGAAAAGTTACTCAAAGATCAAAAAGTTATCGAACTATGTGTCCGTGGCGCGGCGTCAAAAAAACACCATTCGCCGCGAAACAGGAAGTTGTTGTAACTCAGCCATACATTGTCTAATCTGCTCCAAATCTCTCATATGTCATAACATCCTGATCCGGAACACATCTATAAGACAATTTAGAATCATAGTAATAGCGCCACCTAGTGGCAACTGGAAGTTGTACGTTTTGTACTTTGACATCCTGCTCCTCACAGATTAACCAGATCCCTCTCAAATGTTGTCAGAAAAGCCTTAAGACCTTGATAATGCTTCATTGTGAAAATCGTAAGAAGTTGTTGAAGGGCGGCGACGTGGCGGCTTGGCGAATTTCGATCCTTCGCCATGAACGAATAAACTGATGTAACTCGACTCCACATCATCAGATCTTTACCAGATTTCACATGTTTGATTAGACTCCAGGCCTGAAGACATCTGCAGGCCAATTTTGAATCATAGTCATAGCGCCACCTACTGGTAACAGGAAGTTAAAGTCTTTATACTTTGGCTTGTTTCTCTTAGTAGGTAAATCAAATCAATATCAAATTAGTTCCAGACAAATATAAGAAGTTCATAATGCCAGTTCATGAAGCTTTTGATGTTTCGTCGAACGCCGTTGCCGTGGCGATGCAGTCTTCGCCGTTAACAACGAAGGTAATTTTGAGAGGCTAAAAATGCTCGAAACATAAGCAAACTTGGCAAGCAGATTACAAGCCCAAAATGTAGTTATAAAATATGATTTTATTGGTTCAGAGTGGCAAATCGGCTCAATAGCGCCCCCTACACAATTTCGACGAAGCAACCCTCGCAGTATGTTTGACCTAGATGTATGAAATTTGGTAGGAACATGTATCACATATGGACTTAAATAAAAGTCTCTTGGGGCCATGCTCTAAACCCAACCGGAAGTCAGCCATTTTGAATTTTGTATGAATTTCTCGTGTTTTTTTCCATTTCCAGGTGCTGGAAGTGGAATTAAAAGTTGCTAAAAGCTTTAGATTTCATCGAACGACGTGGATATGGTGTGATGGCCATTTTACATGGTTCGCCATCATCCATCAAGCTGTTGTAACTCGACTGTACTTTGTCAAAACTGTCCCAAACTTGACATGCTTGTTGACTGTCATGGCTTTAGGACTTCTGCATGAAAATATTAACTCATTTTCATACCGCCACCTACTGATAAGCACGTACGTAAGCAGGATTCTATAATTACAGCGGCCCAAACACTGAATTTATTGAAAGGGTTTGTGGGCACACCATGAGAAAAAGACTTCTCTGATCTAAATATGTGCAAACTAAGATGCTTGGAGAGCAAAAGTTAGATAACAGTGGATTTTCAAACCATGTCAGTGGGCATTAGTATAAATGATCTGTCCAGAGCTTCTTCATGACAATCAGGTTAAACGTTACAATGAATGCTTCACACTACAATTTAAAGTTACAGAAGAACTTAAAATGAAAACAGTGTTAAATTAAAGTGTTTAAGTAACAGCAAATATCACTACTGTTTTGTTAACTTTCATGTAAGTCCAAATACAATCAGCAGGACACTGCAGGGAGTTGAACCCCATCCCAGTAAACTGACAGTCTGTTATGTTACAAACACTGAAGCGCATTCACACACATTCATTTTCTTAATGATCTTAAAAGGCTTACATTTATGATTGTATCGGAGTTACACTCAAAACATTTGAGGCTTAAGACCTGGCAACATGATCTTGCTACGCTGCTGGTCGACGCAGGAAATATCATCTAACTCGTGCATGCAGTGTATGATGGTCACAGAAATGCATGGCCGCGTCACACAGAGTCCTGCCAGTACCAGGAAATACCGTTTAACTCGTGCACGCAGTGTATGACGGTCACAGAAATGCAGGGCCAGAGTCCTGCTAGTACCCTTGACGTGCGTGAAGTTGCGAGGGCCCGATCAATGCTGCTCGCAGCTTTAATTATTATTATTATTCTTTTTCTCTCGAATGAAACGCCATTTTGGGGGCTTTAGCATGTCCCCAACATCCCCATATTTGGCAAGCATATCAGGATTGCGGGAAAATTTGATATTTTATGGGTCCCATGCTCGAGCATGACAAAATTGCTCGCTAGCGCCCCCTAGAAGTTGGAAATGCAAGCCCCGACAGCCCGTTTGTCCAAATGACTTAAAATATGAGCAACTGAATGAGTTCTACAAAAAATCCTCTTGGGACCCTAACCTCTGCCTACCAAAATGTTCCGCCATTTTGAATTTTGTAAAAAAAAAAAAGAAGAAATTCACTTCTCCTAGACCCTGGGTCTGGTTGGTACAAAATTTGCTGTGAATCATTATTGGATCTATATAATCAAAAGTTACTAAAAGCTAATTGATATGTCATTGTATTAAGAATATATGGACCAATGAACTTCATAGGGCGTGGCCTTCTACAGCGCTACGTTTGTCTATGCAATTTGGTAGGCACATGTATCATATGACGACTTAAAAAAAAGTGTCTTGGGACAATGCTCTAAAATTAACAGGAAGTCGGCCATTTTAATTTTTGTGTGAATTTTCTCTTGATTTCTAGTCGCTATACTTTAACAAACTCCTCCTAGGGACTTTGTCAGATCCACTTCAAATTTGGTCAGTATAATCTAAAGACCTTTGCTATTAAAAGTTACTCAAAGCTTTACGTTTGATGCAACGGCGTGGCCGTGGCGTGGTGGCCATTTTACGTGAATTAAAAACGTCTCGCTCGCGGACGCGCCGTCCGACGGTCGCGGACGTTCTCGGCAGCACAGGGCCGGAGTCCCACCGCCACCCCCGACGGGCTGCAGATTGCGAGGGCCCGTTCATCGCTGCTCGCAGCTTTAATTAGGGCCTGAGCACCGACAACATTGGGCCGCGAGGTCCCTATTGAAACTGTAGGAATTATTATTATTATTATTATTATTATTATTATTATTCTTTTTCTCTCAAATGAAACGCCATTTTGGGGGCTTTATCATGTCCCCAACATCCCCATATTTGGCAAGCATATCAGGATTGCGGGAAAATTTGATATTTTATGTGTCCCATGCTCGAGCATGACAAAATTGCTCGCTAACGCCCCCTAGAAGTTGGAAATGCAAGCCCCGACAGCCCGTATGTCCAAATGACTTCAAATTTTACGGACATGTGCAACTGAATGAGTTCTACAAAAAATCCTCTTGGGACCCTAAGCTCCGCCTAACAAAATTTTCCGCCATTTTGAATTTTGTAAAAAAAATAAAAATTCACTTCTCCTAGACCCTGGGTCTGATTGGTACCAAATTTCATGTGAATCATTATTGGATCTATATCATCAAAAAATATGAAAATCTTGTTGATATCTTATTGCATTAAGAATATATGGACCAATGAATTTCATAGGGATGTGGCCTTCTACAGCAATATATATAACTTCAAAACCATGTGGCCTATCCTCACGAAATCTGTCGCATATGTTCACATTGTGTTCTGTAACATTCACTCAAATTTTCATTCCATACAACCACTAGGGGGCGATGCAGTAATACTCCCATTTCTTTGCATTTTTAGGCACTTTTCATCGTTTTCAGGCATTGTACTTTAACAAACTCCTCCCACAGAATTTATACGATCAACTTCAAATTTGGTCAAGATGATCTAAAGACATTAATGATGAAAAGTTACTAAAATGGTCTACTGACATTGAATGACCTTTGTTTTATATGGCGCCCATGTCACGCACATTTCGTGCCGTTCGCCATGAAAGAGGAAGTTGTTGTAACTCCAAGGTACTTTATTCAATCTGCCCCAAATTAGTTCTGCATGATGCTGGTCCAGGCCTGAGCACATTTCCATGCCAACATTTTCACAAAGTCATAGCGCCACCTACTGGCAAAAGGAAATGACAAGTTTTATACTTGTATGTACTCCGACTAGGAAGTTGCCCAGATCAGTCTCAAATTTGGTAAGCTAAGCCGTAAGACATTGATAATGCTTCACCATGAATATTGTGAGTTGTCGTTAAACGCTGTTGCCGTCGCAACGCGTCATTCGCCATGAAAAATGAAGCTTATTTTTCTGTGACTTAGGATGCTCAACAAGCCTTGGAACTTTGCACAGGTGTCATAGGTGATGGAAATAAATATTTCATATGGCTTTTTGGCTTGACCCTTTCAAATTGCCTCGATAGCGCCCCCTACAAATTTTCGAAAATGCAGCCCCAGCGCTACGTTTGACCTACATCTATGCAATTTCGTAGGCACATGTATCACATGACGACTTAAAAAAAAGTGTCTTGGGACAATGCTCTAAAATTAACAGGAAGTCGGCCATTTTAATTTTTGTGTGAATTTTCTCTTGATTTCTAGTCGCTATACTTTAACGAACTCCTCCTAGGGACTTTGTCAGATCCACTTCAAATTTGGTCAGTATAATCTAAAGACCTTTGCTATTAAAAGTTACTCAAAGCTTTACGTTTGATGCAACGGCGTGGCCATGGCGTGGCGGCCATTTTACGTGAATTAAAAACGTCTCGCTCGTGGACGCGCCGTCCGACGGTCGCGGACGTTCTCGGCCGCGCAGGCCGGAGTCCCGCCGCCACCCCTGACGCGCTGCAGATTGTGAGGGCCCGTTCATCGCTGCTTGCAGCTTTAATTAGGGCCGAGCACCGACAACGTTGGGCCGCGAGGTCCCTATTGAAACTGTAGGAATTATTATTATTATTATTATTCTTTTTCTCTCGAATGAAACGCCATTTTAAATTAAATTAAATTAAATTTGGTCAGTATAATCTAAAGACCTTTGCAATTAAAAGTTACTCAAAGCTTTACGTTTGATAGAATGGCGTAGCCGTGACGTGGCGGCCATTGTAGGTGATTCGCTATTAAACAACAAGCTGATGTAACTCCACTGGACTTGCTCAAATATGTCCCAAACTTGCCATATTTGATAACAGTCATGGCCTAAGGATGTCTACAAGCCAATTTTCACTCAAAGTCATAGCGCCACCTACTGGCAACAGGGAGACAGCGTTATGTGACAAACTGAATCCGATTTATATGACATTTACATGATGTGGTCTATACTTGATGTAGAGCAACACAATGCATGTTTGCACGTGTTCTCTAGCGCCACAAAGTGGATACAGGAACTGGTGGAATATTTGCACTACATAATTTCCAGCGTCACAGTCCAAGCATTAAAAATTTGTCTAACTTGTGGGCATGCTGTCTGATGGTCGCAGATATTTATGGCCGCTTCTGCCGGCGTCCCGCCAGTGCCCCCGAGACGCGGGAAGGTGCTGCTCGCAGCTTTAATTTATTTTTGATGCCCATAGATATATATTTGAGACTTGAGACAGTTTCAAATTACCTTAAACACATCTTTGATATTTCCATACTGCAATTTCTTGTTATTTATCTGCCATATACACCAACATTGACATATCTGCAATAAGCTAATACTGTATAGCAGCTAATTTGTGAAGTGGAGTTTTTGGGGGAATTATTGGGATCTAAAACAATCTTCTGTGTTTTTATCATTCGGACTTCAATTGAGTGTAAAAGATAGAATGACGTTTAGACCATACATTACAAAGACAATTTTTTGTTTTGATAAAGCATCCATGATGTCACCCGTACTATTCAGGAAGTAGCTTTAAAGTCTTAATTTAGGTTTTCCACAAAATGGATTTTGAAACTAGACAAGTCAACTAGTTAGGGAGGCCTGGGTGGAGCAGTCACAGCAGACTGATGTTTCAAGCTTTAGTTTGTTGCTTTGTTGCAGTTTTAAAGATCACACGGCTAGTACTGACACTTGATGGTTTGCTTCAGTGTGTGTGCGTGTGTTTACCTCTGACAGACAGGTGTCCAGTGCTGTTGGCTTTGCCCAGGTAGTTCTCAGCAAAACAGGTGTATTTCCCTTCGTCTGCCCTGCTGATGTTGTGGATCAGCAGGATGCCGTCTGGAGTTACGGTGACTCTGTCAAGACAGGAGTATACGGAGGGTAAAGAGCGCCCAGCTGGCTGACTTCAGTTCTTCAGTACCAACTCAAGGTACAATAGGAACAACTCTCATGTAATCCGATACGACGTCACAAACTATTTATTCAAGTGTAATCACAGAACATGGACATCATAGGCCTCACAAGGATAGTATTTGTACAGGTGTTCCTGTTATTGCGTCCACCTCCTGTATGCCAGCTCTCACTCTATGTGGTGTAGCATTGTAGCAAATAAGTAAGTGTAACGAAGCACAATGTCAAGGTTACTCTGTCCGTTTGCATGCTTTAACCGTTAATAATCCCAGCTGGTCTGCTTCATCTACAAACCCACTGCTCTAGTCTTTACACTGCTGCTGCAGTCATAAGTCATACGTTTAGTTTATAGGAACATTCTGTTTGTTTTTTTTACAATTTAGATCTTAGTTTTTCTGCAATATTCTCATTCCAGACATTTTATTCTCCAAACGAATTGATTAAATCTGGCGATGTCTGGTGAGCCACTAGTAATAGCTTTACGTGTGATCAGGACACATCCACTGTTTAATTATCGTTGTAAAAAAAAAAAAAGAAACATAGACGTTATTGCCTAACGTTTTTGTAAATGTTCTATTAGAGCTTCTTCACCTTTGATCTGAAGGACTGTACTCACATAGAGCAGCAATATTAATATGTAAATACAGATACATATGTGTAGTTGATATTTGGATATGCATGGCAGGGAGTGGAGTATGTTACCGGTCAGCAACCTCTGGGTCTGAAAAGTGAAGCCAAAGCTTCATGTGTTAAAGCTGCATTCTCTCTAGTGTCCATCAGGGGGCGACTCCTCTGACTGTATAGAAGTCTATGAGAAAATGACTCTACTTCTCTCTTGATTTATTACCTCAGTAAACATTGTAAACATGAGTTTATGGTCTTAATCTCTAGTTTCAAGTCTTCTTCAATACAGCATGATGTTCATTTAGTAAATGATGGTCCATTTAGAGTCAAATAGACCATAAAGCAGGAAATGCTTCAGATGATGTATACCACTTCTATGTGTCTCCTGCTATCTCCCCCTAAAGAAGAAAATGGCTCTATGGCAAGGGAGGAGTAGATAAGGTTAGCATGAGGTGGACAAAGGAGTGAAAAACCTTTCGAATGCAAGACTTCACCTCTCTATCGTGTGTTTAGTCTGAACCCTCAGAATAAATATGACAAACACCTACACTCAGGTGGTTTCAGACTCCGAATGTGTGTGACAGAATCTGATGAAATCAATGGTAATTCAACCTTCGACACAAACAGAACTCACTGAACTCGTTTTTGATCTCACCTCCAACTACTGCAGGCTACTGGTGCTTTTCTACATCTTCCTACAGCTGACATGAGTTACAGGTTGATTGGTTTAATGAGCTGCATCTGTCAGACTGTGCAGGAGCTGAGGGCTGGCTCGCCCTACAGACAATGACGTCACTGTAGCTACTGCTGTTTATCGCTTGAGTCTGGAGTTAAGAATGGAACGGGTGTGATTATCATAGTCTGCCTGGAGCAGGGTGAGCCTGTGGCAGTAAACTCGACATCAAGGGAGTAGTGTCTACTGCTATATGACTCAATTATTCATACAGGAGACTTACAGTAATGTGAAATTCAATCAGAAACATTCTCATCATAATCACTGGTACATTGACCTACGTGTGGGTGATTATGAGCGGCTTCAGGGTCCCGCTGAGCTGGAGAGACATCTACATTAAAACAAGTAATACTGCAACTGTAGGAATTGCTTTAAGACACTTTTTCATGCAACCCTGCTTTTTGGTGACGGGATCGTCACATACATGCAGAAATATTCGATTTCATATTAGATTACATAAATGGTGAAGTACAATCTACAGATTAGAGCTAACTACTTTGTGTGAAACTGATTTAAAGATTTAAAGTCAATCAATAGGAAGCTTGGCTGAGTAAGTTAGATAATGTTTTTTGGCTTCATAAAGATCTTCTACAAAACACTAAAAAACGAAATAATGTGCAACATTTCAAAGAAATCCAGTGATGGAAATCTGTGGCCTCTTTATGCAAAATGTGCTACTATTGCTTTTGTTCTGGTAGATCACACCCGATAAGTTGAACACTCCATGATTATAATGGATGATCTTGCTTTTCTGATTTAAATATCATATATAGTTCATGAGCCTCAGAATTTCTGTTCCTGGGCAACATCAAGCTAAAAAGGAAGAGGTGCACATGTCAGAGGTTGCATTTTTAACTTCGGGAAAGAGAGGAATTTACAGGAAAACAAACTGTATGAATATACTAATAAATATCAATCTATCTAAAAGGTTCATCCATCCATTCTATCCAATCAGAATCAAGGATTCTCTGGGGGGCCACGGTATCATCCTCATTATAAAATGGGTAGCTCAAATCAAGCAATCTGATCATAGCTGTGCTATAACATCCACATTCTACTGCTTTAGTATGATGTCTAATTCCTTTGCAAAACATCATTTCTTTTCTCTGACACTGAGTGATACTGAAAGAGTTGTCAAAGGAAGACCAGGTTACAAATACAAAGTAAAACCATTGAAGGTTAACCCCTATGGAGCAGTGGATTGAGCAGTGCCCATCACCAGAAAAGAATCAAGCTGCTCCTCCACATGCAGCGCCACACAAAGAGGAGATTCGACAATGTTGCTCTGAATATGAAAGCATGCAGGAAGGCAGAGGATAAACACCAACACTGCCTCAGCACCGCGATTCACAAACGATCTGATGCAGATGTTCACACCAGAGAGATTATGGTTACAAGTGGCCACCAGTGTGAAGCCTCTCTCCAGAGACCGATGACAGTGGACTCCAATAACCTAATAAAGGCAAGCCTAGTATAAGCAGTTATTAGACTCATCCGACTGACCATGGACATATTCTCAGTGGTTGCACAATAAATGGAAAAATACAAATAATGTATATCAAGAGCCAAATAATGAAATGAATATAACGCTAGCCTGGGATGAATAAACAAAACAAAACAGAAGGCTAGCTGCTAGTGTACGTTCCATAGCTACTGCCTCGGTATACGCAGGCAGCCAGCCCAGACAGGACTATTTTGTTGTGAACTTTATCATTTATTAATACAAATTTGGATTTGGATTTGGACCTGTTTTATAAAAGCAATAGCTCACTTCAAACCGGGATATGTTGTAATTATATCACAACTGAGGGAATTGTCGTCATACCACGGCCTGTCAGGAGCTATTGAGCAAAACAACTCTGTCAGGACACACTCACTGTACTACTGCCCACGTTTCTGTCCTCACAATTGTTTCTGGTTCTAATTGTGAGCAAGAGTAAAAGTAAAGAACAATGTCTGATGTGGTGTGTTACATATAAAACACAGGTCTCCTACAGTATATGATAGACTGTGCAGCAAGCTGCATCTAACCAGCCATCATTTCCTGTACTGAATGCATATCTAGCTATCCAGTTCATTTAATGCTGTATGTTACGCTGAGCCTCATAGTTTTTATATTTCATGTTTAGCCTGTATTGTGTGATATAATTAGTTGAACTCTGAAATCAGAGCCCAAGTCTTCCTCAGGCGAATACCCACAGGAAGGACATGAGAGCTATAAGTAATGCAAAATAACCAGTATTCATTTTACTGGGCTTCTAAACGTGACGCGAATGCACCGTGCTGTGTATGGACATCAGGTTGACTCAGTATTACCTGCTGCTGTTCACAAGCAGCTCTGTCCCACGGCTCCAGAACAGGCTGGGCTTCGGAGCAGCTTGAGGGCGACATTCGATCATCACCTGCCCCCCTCTGGCTGCTGGGATCAGTCTCCTTACTGGGTTCAACCTGAAGTCTGGAGCCTGAACTGGAGGGACGGGTGGCAGGAAAACAGCGCAGAGTAGAAAATAAGCAGGTTGATGGATGGGATGCAGAAGGGAAGAGTATGGGAGATGGAGGAATAGTGGAAAAACAGAAAACTTTTAACTTGAGGCTAGAGAATGGTACAGTATTAAATCGTATTCATCTTAAATTTGCATAAATACAAGTACAATTTGCAACCAACCAACAAAAACCTGGTCTAAAGTCAATGGCTAGGTATGTTCCTGCTGTTTATTAGTAATATGCGCCTACATAGATGGGTTCACAATGCGTGTACACTCTGCTTGTTACACACACTTTGCTGCTACAGCTTTCCTTGAGCCCAGATTAACAAGTTAACACCGTTTGACAAGCAACAGTGGACTTTGACACACCCTAAATGCACCTGTGCCATGCACTATAGACCATGCTCTACAGATTAAATAGGGCTCTTCATGTTCTTTACTGATACAGCTCTCAATGTTTAATTAAGTATAATATGATACTTTTAGTATTTTGAATGCAGTTTCAAATGACGGAACCTAAAGACAGTCCTCCTTAGACGTCTACCTTGGACTCTGAGCTCAGCAGTGGAGTAGACGGTGCCATGTTTGTTTTCAGCAACACACTGGTACATCCCAGAATCCTCCAGGGCCAGATTACTGATCTTAAGACGAGCCCCGTTCACCTCTACCCGGTCCTGTGGGGTAGAAGAAGAGAGAGAAGTGGAAGTGAATTATGGGATATGTAAGCTGAGAAACAAAGCATACATACATACATGTCTCTTTGTGGTTGTTTTGTTTTTTTGGTAGTTATTTTTTGTCTGTGGTTGCTTTGCCCATCTTTGTAGTCTTTTTGTGTCTCTTTGTAGTTGTTTTGTGTCTCTTTGTAGTCGCTTTGTGTCTCGATAACATCCCTAAATGTGTCACAGCCCTCATTAAGATAAGAATTTCCAAAAATATACAAACTAAAAATCAAATCCATTTCAGTGTCAGCAGTAGAAGTCAAGTTACCGGCAAGTAAATGCATAATTTATGTGTAGTCATTCACTACATTTATACTCTTAATTGTGTAATATGATGTAAGACTCTTTCACTCTTTTACAACTTTGAGCTGTTTTTAGCAGCGTGTCCACCAATCTAAACCATAACTAACAATCTAGAACAAATGAGACCAGAGAGGATCTCCATCCAGGAGGCTTATCTAAACACTGCAGGTTAGGATGAGAAATGGTAAGAAAGTTATCTTTCTTTGAGTCAAATTATTTTCAATTCAATTCAATTAAATTTATTTTTGTAAAGCCCAAAATCACAAATTACAAATTTGCCTCAGAGAGCTTATTTCTTCTACTTTATTGCGTAAAAGGACGATCAGAACATTTGGCATCAGCACAGCTCGGTCCCACCTCACAGATTTGTCTAAATCAAAGGAAACGGACTTTCTCTGGGTGGAAGATATGAAGCTCTCGAGTAAGTTCAGACAGGAAGACTATACTCTTGCATGAATAAGCCCGTAGTTTATTTCTCAAACATCTACCATTCACTCCTCACACATGCTCACTCATTATTTCATTGCTGTCATTGTTCTAGGCTGTCAATCATGATATCAGCTGTTTAGATCAGCTGGTCTCTTCTACCCAGTAGCAAAATGAAACAATGACATCGTTGTCCTATCATCATCTTGCTGCTGTCTCTTTAAATATGATTGTCTCTGTACCTTCAGTACGTTCATGCTGCTGTTACGCAACCCTCCACCTCTCCATCTCCTCCCAGTCTTCATCTTCATCAACTCATCATTCTATCAGCCTCATCGGGCTGGGCTTCTATCAGCCTCATCAGCCACCACCACCACCAGTGTCTGGACTCTGGGGGGGGGGGGTCATATTGTTGCTGCTCAGGGCAGACGCCCCTCCATTACAAATCTCCCTGTAGAGTCCAAGCGCCAAAGACTCTGTCAAGACTTTATCATCCCACATCATCTGTTAGTAATAAACAATTATCTTTTCTTTATCTGACTTCTCTCTCCTGATTGAAATACCGTTACAGAGATTTTTCAACAATTTGGTGAGTGACCATTAGTGCAAAAGGAAGATGGTGAAGAGACAAAACATCAGTGTTACAGTAGAAGGAGTATTTGAACATCTTTGTGTGTGGAGGTAGACAGCATACTGCGTGTGTTACCTGTGTGCTGAGCGGCTGTCCGTTGCGTAGCCAGCGTATAGAGGGTCGGGGTTTACCGGCAGCAATGCAACTCCACAGAAGCTCTGAGCTGATCTCCACCTCTGAGTCGCTCATCACCTGCAACCACTCGGGCTGAGCTAGATGTTTGGAGGAGAGAGATAAGAGAAATGTAGCATCGATAAAAATGAGACAGTAAATGGCATTCAATGAAAAGAAATGCATTAAGGAAGTGCACTACAGGTGCAGTACAACAAGACCTTTTGTTCCTTTCTGACATGAAATACATGACATTGCTGGTATGTTAAAGTGATGGCTTTTACATTGATGTTCCATATGGCTTCATTTAGACATTTACTGACAGGGCTGAGCTAAAATGTTATGATAGCGAGGAAGAGGAGTGTTCTGTTCTCTCACAGGCTGCATCACGGATGGATTTTAAAACATATTCTGCCCTTGAAGCCTTGAGTGTGAAGGACAAACAGTGAACACTACTGCTACATTTTCACATCTGTTTAACTATTGATTGTCAATTCTGCAGCCTGCTTTAGAATATCTTCAGAGCACAAGGGCGTTCAGTTGGGACTCCTTTAGTTCCTATCTGCTCACATGCTGCATTTTAATCCACACAAACTGGATATTCATTTATTCATCCAGGCAGTCTGCACGAATGAACATTTAAAGACATTTGGTCAGATCAATATTGTAAGAGGCTTTTTGAACCTGTCACACTGCAAGGGGAAAATAAGTCTTATAGACTGAGCTGATATGAGAAGATTGAGGTCTGTCAGAGCGTTTCATAGTAAATTAACTGATATTGTGCATAAGAGACAATGATTGAGATAATTACTCATTGCATCAATCTTGGAAGGTTTCTCTGCATGTTTTACCTTGGGCTGCTGCTAGGTCTGTCACGATAACTACTTTTGTTGACCAAGATATTGTCCTAGAAATAATTGGAATTAGGACATTAATGTAATTTCAAGACCATTTTATGTCATTGATATAATGATAATATGATGCTATAATAATGCAAAGAGAACACTTTTGAATCTTAAGAATATTCAGATATTGGAATTGGGAAGTGAAAAAACATTGAATTATTCTAAATAAGTAAAATGTGAATAAAATATAACCACAGACCCAAAACAATAAATAAAATGGACTCTCGGCTCTGTTAACAGAACTGTGCAATGTCTGCGCAATACCCAGGTCTTATAATGGAGGAGGAAAACCCTGCTGTTTATTCTGGCATCACTGGAATGGCTGGTGACATTCTTAAGTGAACAAATACACATGTAAACACAACGGGCAAAATCCAGGTCATCAAAAAATGATTGAGGTCATGTCCATATATCGTCTGATCAGTCAATACCATGAAATGATTGAGGTCATGTTACTGTGACAGGTCTAGCTGCTGGAGCTTTCTTCTTAATCAAATGGCATTCAACTTAGACTTGTACTGTGTTGAAAGTAACATGGAAATGTTTCCATGTCCCTTCCAGTGACGGTTACTTTAAGAGTCACGGTTTCTTCTGTGACTCTTAAAGTAAAAGTGACCAGGATGTTTATTCAGACATAAGACCAACATGTTAAACTGGTGTGAAATTGCCATCAGAACATCACTGATTAAACTGATACACTATGTGCTTTGCTGCAATACCACCAGATGTTCACAGATGTTCTGTACCTTGCACGTTGATGCGTCCCTGGTATGTGTCACTGCCCTCTGAGTTGTAGGCTTCACATTCGTAAACACCCTCGTCATCGAAGGAGAGTTCTGGCAGGATGAGGGTGGGGGCCTCGGCGCTGGAGCCCGCCTTGGACGGCATCAAACCGTCCACTTTCCTCCATCGCAGTCTTGGGACTGGACTATAAGACAAAACATAGAAAGAGATAGAGGTGAAATAAAGGAAGAGTTTCAGAATGAAACAGCACACGGACCAGATGGGGATGAAGTCTTTAAGAAGTTTTAGGGGACGACATACAAGTAAGAAGTACACGCAAGTTTAAAGCTGGACAAGGCACACATTTTGACCCAAAATATTGCAGACATTTTGCAATGATTTCAAGTTGGGAGACTTACTTTCCATAGGCGAAGCACTCTAACTGGGCGGTGTGTCCTGCTAGGGCGTAGGTCTCTGCTGGGAAGCGCACTTTGATGCTCGGAGCTGATTTCCTGGGATTGGCTGAAATAAAATATAATTGTAAACATTCACGTGAAATCCCTTTCATAATGTATATCTAAATGTTACACATACATACACATACACACAACTATAGAGACATTTACCTCGTTAATGATGTTGGCCTGTGTTTCGTTCTGAAGCAACATACTTATACAATTACTGACAAGATAGTTGTGAGATTATATTCATGATCTCTAGTGGACAATTACTACTACTATAACTTAAGAGCTCACCTCTACCCTCATGTTGCCTTGACACTCTGACAGACTGCCCCGCTCAGTTCTGGTTCTGGTTCTACCGTGCCTCCCTTTACTTCAGTGGGCCTAGCAATACGGCCTGGGCCTCCAGCAGCATAGTATTGTTGGAGACCCAGGCCGGCGGAGAAGAGGCCCGATGCTGCCCTGCTACTATCACATTAATGTCGGTTTGTCACGTACAAGTGGTAGAGAAGTGAAGATGACATTTGGAAATGATCGTTGGACCATGCAATGGGAATGGGTCAAATTTTCCACCACTTTCTTGCCAGCCCTGTAAGTGTTGCTGCCGAAGCATATTAATCAGAATTTCAATGATACATTTTTTTCCACAGAAGATAGAACAATTATTTTATAAATGATACTGAGATTTGGAAATCGTTTATTTCAACCAATACCAATTATAAAAAATAGAGGAGGGGCCAGCCCTCAAACAAGCTTGTTGTGAATACACCCTAAGACAGGATACCACTTTTAACATTATCACCACACCAAATCTCTTCAGCTATCCCTCTGTCCTCTGTTTGTTAACAGTTATTCATCAGTTACACACACTTTCTGCATCATGTGGCTGCTAATAGATCAGCCTTGTCCCACATACCGTCCGGCAGCACAGTGAGCTGGTTGGCCTTGCTGAAGGTGCTCTTGGTGCTGATGTCCATGTTGATAGTAGTGAAGCAGAAGTAGTTCCCGGTGTCGTTTGGCTCTGCTTTAGCTACGTACAAGTTCCCCGTGACCTGCGACACAAACCAGCGGCCGTCATCCTTCTTGATGAAGTTGGGGAATTCGTTGATCAACCAGCGGTAGGACAGAGCTGCAGAGGAGACACATCCATTACGTCTTATTGCCGTCCTACCAGTACTTTGATTTCAATATGGAAATGATCAGCAGAGGGACCCTCATCGCAAAAGAGGTTTATAATTCTGCTCATTTAAATCACTTTGATCTGTGGACCACCTATGGACGCTTATCCCACCTGTGGGCTGCGGGTTTCTGACAGCTGATTCTCTCATTTTTGATGGTGTCTAACTGTTTCGCTAATCTTCCAGGTGGTTTAAAACCTCTTTAAACCTAGCCCTATTTTTAGGCCTCTGCTCGAAAATTGCATACCCATGCTAAATAGACTGTAAATCTGTAACTACAAGGCCTATTTTAATAATTTTGATGGTATAATACAGGTAACACTTGTGAGATGTGTTCAGATGTGTAAATATTGTGTATATGTTACTGGTTAATAGTGAATGAAGATGGCACACAGCTCAAATTGAAAAGTTTCAGGTTTGCCTGAAAACAAAGCACTGAAAGCATGAATATCTTTTTTTAATGATGCAGGTGAAAGCTAAAAACTCTCCCACATCATAGCACATGTCAGAAGTCTCTGCAAATATTTTCTTTGATAAAGTGAAGCAAACAAAAGTTAGAGAGGTTTTAGTACAGAGAGGTCACGGGAGGTCGAGTTGATTTGTCATTTTGGAAGCAGCTGTTCCAGCTGTTCCATTGTACTTTTATATACTATATAACTATATGTTTCACTTGTTTTATCACTAATAGTATTCAATCTATCCAAATACAGCAGTTTGGCATCATTGTGAGAGCCTGAGGCCTCTCTAAACCCTGTATGTGTCTGTGAACCACGGATCAATTCTCATCTGCCTGTCAGAGTCTCATGCATGCATGAGTGGTAACGTGGGTTTGATTGACAGAATCGTTAGCCGGAAAAAAACAGAAACGCGCAGTGCGTCGCCCTGCGTAAAAACTGATTCGCCGAAAGTAAATTCCCTTCCCCCACGGTCCCCCAGGCGGTGGAGCGGCTTGGTTTTGTGGTGCTTGTTGACTGTATATTTGTAATGGTTTCACGGAGAGAAATTTGGGAGATATCTCTGGATTCTGTGTCGAATGCTCGTGCTTTTTGATATCTCGATTGTCCATGTTAGCGGTTAGCTTTTTGTTCGCAGCTTTGTACGGAGTGCATGGCTCGCCGAGTCATGGCGAAAAATACATGATATTGTGGTACGTCTTCTAGAAATTATATTAGTGTGTATAATTGTGTTTGCAGTGTGTAAAATGGCTTGCACGATGTCTTTGCCCAGAATTTTCTTCGTTAATTCGGTATATAATATGTGTGTAGCATTCATTATATTTGTTTCTGAAAAGTGCATTCTACGACACGCTCTTCGCTAAACGGTCTCGCTCGAACCCCAAATGGTCCTCGCTCGGGCCCAGAAGGTTTTAAAATAATAAATAACTGGCGTGGAACCCTGAAGTAGAGTGGATACCTGGGTAATGTATAGGGGGCTGGCAGGCCAGGAAAGCTCCGATGCCTTCGTATGCTGTCTGAGGACTCCTGCTGTCCGGAGGGAAGTCATGGAGGTCTGGAGAAACAAAAGATTACTGTCACATACAGATGGTGTTGCTGGAACAGAAGCAGCAACAGTACACAGTTGATAGTAACTAAAGCATATTAGTGTAAAGCAGTGGCGGGCCGTGCATTTTATACCTAGGCCTTCACTGTTGTCCTGCAGCTGAAATACCACCTTATGATGGTAAGGTGGTATTTCACCATATGATGGTGCCACAGATATTAGTTTCTAAGGCTGTAACTATGTACATATTAAATTTACGTACCTATGTACGTACCGTTCGGTACGAGACTTACAATACCTTTGAATAGTAGTAGAGCATTTGGAAAATGCAGAAGCTTAAATTCAGGAAAACATAATATTTTCTGCGCTCATGGAGGACAGTGGTTCTCAGCTGGTCTGGCTGTGGGACCCACCATCATTCCTTAATGACAAGTCACGGCCCAAAGAGATCGCCTTATGATTTTATTTTCACAACTTGAACATTGAACGTACTGCTCTGCAATGTCTTTCCTCGTCTCAGCCCCCTGTGTCATGGTGTGTGGTACATCTCGCTCAGTCAGAATGCCTATATTTGATTGGCTGAGCTGCATCACGTGATGTGATTCACTACCCGACAGCCTCTGCTGTTAAGTTTCGTTTCACGATAGTCACGTGCTCGCCCACTGACCAATCACAGCACACTCTGCACCTCGCAGCAGAGCTACTAATGGACACTGAGCGTCATGTAATGCTGACGTCATTATAGGCCGGCTAGCAGGTGCTGACACATCAAAGAATACGCCCAACATTTCAAACTAAAGATCTGATTGGTTGAAGAATATGACAATCAACAATATCATCCCCATTCACTTAAACTGCACATGGATGCACTTGTGAGTCTGCAGGCCTCTGCCTCTGTTCTTACCTAGAGACACAGAGGTGAAATCTGATTGGATAAAAGCTCTACTTAAAACAAGCTGCACTGGAAGCAGAGCAACTGAGGAAGACAGTAGCTGTGCAATGAGAAAATAAGATAATGGGAAAAATAATTTTATAAATTATAATACATGTAGTGTATTTAAGAAAAATTATTAAATCATAAAATAGCTATAACTTTGTGATTCTGTTTAGGCCAGCAGAGAAGGCCTTGCAGGCCCTGACGGCCCACCACTGGTGTAAAGTAAATCCTATCTAACTCCTTCTGTCTCTGCCACAGTGACCAGGCAGCTCATACAGGTCAAAAGGTTAAGGCTCTCACTCACAGCCAAATTTGAGGTTAGCTGCTTGGCTGATGATGGTGCCACAGCGGTTGATGGCCAGACACTGATAGGAGCCTGTGTCTCGAATGGACTCGGGGCTGCTGATCACCAGGTTGCCGGCCACCAGGGTATAGCGCAGGTCCAAACCCAGCGGGACCTCTGTGCCGTTCACAAGCCATCTGCAGAGAGACAGAGTGATGAGGACACAGCGAACAGGTGAGAAAAACATAACGGACCATTACACGGTTGAAGAGGCTGAAAAGAGTTGATGATGTTGGTGGTGAAGCGAGTGTCTTTGTATGTGGGAGATGTCAGCACATAGTCATAGCTGCAGGACAGTAACATGCTGTTAAGAGTCATCAATTAAAAATGTCGTAAAGCTCAGGCTAAGTCCTCTGAAGAACACACCTTCAGAGGTCAGGGTCAGGTATGTGTTTGTGTGTTAGTGTGTCTGTGTGCGTGTTACCCACCTGTAGGATGCAGCTGGACTAGCTCTGGCCTGACAGCTGAGGGTCACCTTGCCTTCACTCAGGCCTTCTGGGTAGATTAAACTGCTCGGCTGGTCTTCAAACAGTGGCCCGCTGTCATGACCCGACACACACACATCTCCACCTGCAAACATTTTCAACAACGCACTAGTTACACACCAAACCCTATGCCAGAGACGTCTCAATGGTGAGGACCTGCTGCTGTGTCCTGGACAATTCTATTGTGTACTCTTAGACAGTGTGTGTGTACAACATTCAGGCTGCCGGAGATTTGAATAAACAAAACTACGTGATGTTCTGGAAGGACTCATGGGTCAACAAAATAGAGCGTATATATAGATACATGATGCGTCTCCACTTCCTCCCACTGTACAAAAGAGGAGGCAACTTTCGGGTCTGAAAAGTGAAGCCAATGTTAGTGTCTTAAAGCTGCATTCTCTCTAATGTCCACCAGGGGGCGACTCTTCTGGTTGTATAGAAGTCTATGAGAAAATGACTACTTCTCTCTTGATTTATTACCTCAGTAAACATTGTAAACGTGGGTTTATGGTCTCAATCTCTAGTTTCAAGTCTTCTTCTATACAACCCGATGTTCATTTAGTAAATTATGGTCCATTTAGAGTCAAATAGATTATAAAGTAGGAAATGCTTTAGGGCGGGGCTACCTTTTGACTGACAGGTCTCTACCACGGCATTGTCCGATCTGAGAGTTGTCCGTGTTTCGTCTTAGAACTTTAACCCTTTCATAGTGTGTTTTCACTTCATGAAAGTTAATGTTAATTAGCATCACCCTCTCATGTCACTTCTGGTTGAAAAAAACAAGATGGCAACAGACAAAAAACAAGACTGTGATGACTGAAATACCGAACTCGAGGATTAAAAACCAATGGGGGCTGCCATCTTGTGTTTTTGACGTCATGTGGAGCCAGAGTCTGCACAGCGGTGATCGGGGGGGCTGGAGTCGCAGTAGCGACTGGTGGAAAGTACCATTACTCTAGTAGTGAACTGAAGTACAGTTGAAAGATACTTTACCTGGTAATATACACTTTATTCTACTTCTACATGTACTTCACTACATTTCAATGACAAATATTGTACTCAACTACATTTAAGTTGACAGGTATAGATACTAGTTCATTTATACAAAACACATGATCCGGTGACATCCTCAACATTACCGTCTTTCAGAGGCTGCACTTCTTTCTTTTCTTTTGTCATTATGATTAGGACTGGTAATGGGGATATGGAGTGATGTCTCTGACTTTATTTACATAATCCTTATGTTTAGGTGGGGAAGGTTTGCCAGGTGAGGTGAAGGTGTGTGACAGTCACCATGGTGACTCCTCTGCTCCAGTGAGCTATGACACTCTCATCAGATAGCTGTTTATAGTTTGTCTGTGTATACAGTCTATGGAAGAAACCATAAACGAATAACAGTGATTTTACTCACAGACACTTCATGAATGTAAGATTGCTCTGTTCTGCAGTTCTTTAACTCTAGCTGACGTGATATTTTCACCAGCTGCTCCACAGCTGACCACGAGTGTCGGGAGCTCGGTCTCTCCTCTGCGCTCCGCGGTGCAGACAGCACTGATGAAATATGAAGCGACATTTGATTTGAGGTTTTACTTAGTTTATATCTTTTACAATAGAAATGTTCTTTTAGTTATGGATCACGTGTACAAGCACAAATAACACTGCTGGTGTGACTGTTAATGATAAAGAGAATATATAAGTGCAGAGTAACGTGTGAGAGGCATCATTATACGTGTAATGATGCCTCTCATTGAATTCCTACAATCCGGCTTCCATTTACCACCTCACCATCTGTCTCCTAAATGTTCGTATGCAAGGGCCACAGTTTGTTTGAATAGATCACAACGCTTGCGTGTGGAGTGGTGTACGCCACAAATGAGAGCCCTGATCTTACACATCACAGTGTTCAGTAAAAGATCTGAATGCTTCTTTCACCACTGAACATCTTTACAACTCTAAAACCATTGTAGTACAACACTTTCACTGCTGCTTCAAACCTAATATAGCATTTATGTCGTCACATATTAATCTGAATCATCTGTCAACACATGTTCTGTGTTTGTCATTGTGTATGATTGGTCTGGTGGAGTGGATCCATGTAACAGAGGGTGGCATCACTCTACTCCTGTGTTTATGAGGCAGGTAATAAAAAGAACATCATTGCTTATTCAGAAAATATGTTTCCATCAGCCTTCATAAGACATTTTCTTTATCCGTACACAGACTTAATCAGCCAGTGTGGATTCAATATTAGGGCATGATTTTTAATCAAGCATTCACAGTTTTCTTTGTTCTATTTTAAACAGCCCTTAATGGGAACCTTCCATCCCTCAACTCAAGTCTTTAGAGCAGCTTTTGTTTTGGTCTTTTCCATACTCTCTGAGTTCAGCTATGTAAACTAGAGACTCAGTGTGCACAGTGTTGTATAATGTGTACCGATGTTAACAGGAAGCAAACATTGTTTGTATGTTTTCCATAGGGCCAAAACAATGTGTGTGCAGAGTGTTGTTACTCTCCATCAAGTGTGTAGCTTTGTCACTGCACACACACACACACACACACACAATAACATATCTGTGACAGAGCAGTGACTCACTTCCTTGCGAGCTTATTATTTAATCGTACACTGCGTCACCTCAGCAGTGTAGCTTCATGATGGCTGCAGCTGCATTCTGAAGAGTACATTTTGAGTTCATGTTGTTCACATATTCACTCAAACAGTGTGGACAGATGAAGACTTTCCACATCTGTGTCTGAGAGCATGTACAGCTGTTATTCAGCTCAACACTGATAAACAGCGATGCTTATGTGTACTATGTGCTCATACTGGCAGAGCTGGTTCATTCCAACAGAAGCTACAGCCGATCATCATCTACCTGTGCCATTCATCAAACCGGTGCGTCAGTTCAACACAAAGGCCCGGCAGAGAAAGCCGTCTCCATGGAGACAATTGAATCCTCTCCCCAAAACAACAATCATGAAATTACAATCCAACCCATATGCCCCAAAATGAACCTCAACCACCACATAGAACTCGCTCTCCATCGCTCTTACACTCAAACTCAAGCTGAAACAGAACTGAGGGAGAGTATTTTTACTTTGGTTCAATTACTAATTCTAATTCTGTTTTGCAAACAAAAGTCGTTTTTTTTAATGGCAATAATAGACAAGTTTCTTTCTTCAACTGTCACGATTTATGTTTTGAATTAGTTATTTATTCTGTTTTATTGAGATGTTCCGTGTCTTGCACTTTATTTGTCTGTCTTACCCCTGCGAGGGTCTGCCCTTCCCCTAATTAGACACTGCTGCGTTCAATCACCTGCACCTCCTCAGTCTGCTTCACTTCACTTTCTGCCCCTGTCTGTTCCTCTCTGTGATCGGCTGCCCCACCCTTAATTGAAACCTGCTGTGTCTAATCACCTGCACCTTCCCTGTGTATTTAAACCCTGTGTGTCCCTTAGCTCAGTGTTCGTTCCTCTTTGGTGTAACCTGGTCCGTCTTTCCTCCGCCTGCCATTTCCTCACGGTACGTTTAGTGTCTGCTCCCCGTTGCCGTGCCCCCTCTTTCTTTGGATGTTTTATTTTCATGGACTTGTGATTCACATGTTTTTTTGTTGAATACTTTTTTGTTACAATTAAACCCACAATTATCCAACCCTCCGTTTCCCGAGTCTCCCTGCATTTGGTCCAGCCCTTTCTTTTCTGCAAAAACCTTACATTATCATTATGAAGTGAATGTTGATTGCACAGTGTAATGGCTGTAGAAGAATGAAACCATCTGCGTTTAGATTGGTTCCCTGTAAACCTGGAATATATGTATTCAGTTCTGTCTGCCTGAAGGGTCCATACAGCACAGAGGAAGAGGACACACCTTGATGCTGATGAAGGTAATAACATCCATGTAACGTCTAATAGTCCATGCCATGCTACAGCTTCACTCCTTCACTTCACTTCTGTCCTTACCTTTCACAATAAAAGCCCTGGACATGCATCACTGCTTACCAGAGAGCATAGAATAGCTTACAGTAGCTATCCCCAGTGGAGATGTTACCGTTTACTGTGGGAACTCTACCGTTAACCGAGGAGGCAAAGAAGGCTAAGAGGTTCTACTGAACCGGATCAGCAAGTGGAAAGACCTGCTCACTTATTAATGCCCCTGGTTGTTTTAGTGTGCTGTCGTGTCTTCTTATTCTGCAGTGTTTAACAGAACCCGACTGGATCATTAGCACCACCAGCTCAATGAACCAATGAAGCAACTGCTAACTTGCATAACAGCAGTGGATAGAAACTTTATTCATTTTAAACTTGGTTAAAATGTGTGCTACATTTGAACATACACGAGAACAGTGAGGTTGCAAAGGAATGAAGAGAACCTACATTTCTTCAATGTGTTTTAGCATTAGGCTACATGGGCTGTGTTTCAAGTCATTCAGATGAATGTGACAGCTCTGATACTGACATTTGGTCATGAGTTTGATCTGTTCAATGTGCTGACTAGCTCATTAGCTATCTATCACTAGCCAGAAGACATTTGTCCCCCTGGTGGATGTTGGTTTGGTAATTTGTCTACCAGGCACCAGCACAAGACATGTGTCTATGCTTGTAGATAAGGAGACACAGAAAGCTAATGTGGGTCTCACTTCAAAGGCTGACGCTCTCTGTTGAGTTGAGACACGTCTGTTTTCTGGCTGTTAGTCTCACCATCAGCCAATGATGGAACAAATTGAAAAATAAAATGATCTGATGGCTGTATGCAAAGGATTCATCCATCTACATAGAGGAGTCGGTGTCATTCTGACTGGAACATGGACCATCAGGTCATTTACAGAGCAGATATTGTAGCAATTTACTATCAGCCCTCATTATGTCACTCTGTTACATTAGTGTTGATGTTGGCTTTCATGTGCTGAGCTATCATGCTTCGACTGATCACAGCTCCAAAAGAGCCAGGTTATTTTGTTGTATTTTGTCAAATCAATGTGTGGTTGAGACATAGTAGCACACAGATGGACAGATGCAAGTTGTTTCCAAACTAAATCCTAGACCCAACTTCTGATCCTAAACAGCCTTTAACCTAAACTCCTCCGTGGGCTGAAACTAAACAGAGTTCTTAAGTTATCATCAGAAAACCACGTGGACATGCATATTTGTGTACATTACAGAGGAACTTACCGACAGCCTCCTTCAGGGCTACTGTGCTGAGGACCAGCAGACACAGCAAGCGCTCCATCATCTGGATTAAAACAGGATCGCAAACAGATCAGGAGCAGATGGGATCAGAACCTGATCCCCTTATCTCACAGGAAGAAGAGGCGTTCAGTCTGGGCCTGTGAAGGAAGAATACTTGCATGACAGCTCCAGTAGCTCCATGGAGGAAGTGAGTTCATCAAGCATTGTAACAATTGTTTTTATTAAAGTTGACTTCCCATCCATTACTTAAATCCAGGCGGAAACGTGAAAAGTGAAGGCAACGCTTCAGGGCCACTCTGCTCTTTTTTTTTCGCTAACCAAAATTATCATCACAATTATTATCACAATTAAAGTGAATTAAGGATGCAAAATGCTAGCTTGCTAGTGTTGGCTGGTAATCAAGCGTTTGCTATGCTAACAGTACCTGGTCCCACTCTTCGCTAGCGCCACCTTTAGCTCACCCTCTCGTCCAAATACGGTCACTTCCAGCACCAAAAACAAGATGGCCACGGCCAAAATGCCCACAAACTAATAGGTAATGTCATGGTGAAAACCTCAACTTCTTTTACACTGTTTATGCGAAAACCTAAAACCTAAACAATCTATCCAGTTTCAATTCAAAGCACTGGTATCTGTACTCTGCACCTGTGAAAATCCTGACAGTCAAACTCTTGTAACACTGTTCATAGTAATGTACATACACATGTTCTGAAAACATGTTTTTATTTCTCCCTTTATATTATTTCCATCCATCATGTTTTGATCTGGTTCTGTCTCCCTTTGGAGGCCAACAACATTTTTAGCTGTTTTTGCTTTGTGAATATATCATGCTAATTTATTTGTTGACAGCCCCACCAGTATCGGAGACCCTTGTGTATTTATTGTTACGTAATAAATCAGATCAGTTCAACTTTTCTTCAGCTACATCTTATTCTAACGGTGGAGCCCGTCCTCTTGCTGCTAGTCATACTTAAAAGAGCCATGTCAGTAGCTAAACGCTTTGTGGTAACCTCAAACCATTCTACAATGTATCACAAATATTCACTAGAATACTCCGGTGACCACCATTTATACTGTATCTGGTCCTGAACACAGCCCTGTCTCCTGCTGGCTGCTTCAGGTAAAAGCATGAAGTCATTTAACATTTCCTGGTTTCAAAGACTAATAAACAATGCACAAAAATACAATAGGTATGGAGCAGTAATGCATCTTTTCTTTTTGACCTGTGGAGGTGGAGGTTGACTGACTGACAGTCAGTGAGTTCTGAGTTGTTAGTGTTCCATTCTGAGGCACTACAATCATTGAACGTCTTACAAAGAACACTACTGTATCTGTTTGGTACGCTCCAAACTAGCAATATTGCAATTTGTTTTCCTCTTGTGTCTGCTCCAGAGACAGCCATGGATGAGGCATTATGGTTTCGGCACAAACGTACACTTGCCATCAAGAAATAATTCATATGCTAATTATGGCAATTTCACATGACATTTTAGACAGACATGGATATAACCTGCAACATGACTGTTTGGCAGAAGCACACAACTGCACGCTAACAGCTTGTGGACCCAAGGAAGATTAGCGGCCGCTAAGGTGTCAGCTAATGGGGATCCAGTTAATAAACTAAACTAACATGTTTATAATAGTAAATACAGTTGAATGAGGTGAAGTAATCTGGAGACAAAGGTATTTTTATAGATTATTTGACCTCTAATTTGCACTGCAGCACAAAGCCCTTGTGTGTCAGTCCTCATTTGTTAACAGCAAGTCAACTCTAATTCAAAGGAAGTAAACCAGTTTCCCTTTCAACATAAAAACGTGTTTTGAAACAGAAGTTGGGGATTTAATGGCCTGTCTAACCATGTTGACATGAACTACATGTTGCTTTGCTGCATGGCTCTTTGCCTCGTTTAAATCAGAGCTCAAAACATTTTGTTTACAATAAATTAGATGCATAACTTATTTTACCCTGTAACTCTTTATTTGTTTGCTTTTTAAAATGCAGGTTTAATCTTTAACTACTTATTTGCTCGTTCTCTCTTGTTTTATTGTCTTTTTAATGCAATTTGAATGTTTTCTTAAGGTTTAATATATCTCTACGCCCCTGTAAAGCACTTTGAATTGCCTCGTGTCCGAATAGTGCTCCGTAAATAAAATTGCCTTGCAAACACTATTGTTTCTATGAGTTATTGTTTCATCATTGATAGTGAGTGTAGTGATTTAGGAATCCAGCGTCCCAGAGACTTTGTGGCCACATAGTTTTGAGTAATTAAAAAGATCCTATTGTTTTTTTCTATCCATAAGACCTGTGAGGCTCCCTCTTCTATCCGTGTGCATCACCTCAACACTAGTCTCTGTTCACAGCCAAACCTGACGGTCCTTCCCAGGAGAAGACCCTGCGTTTCAGGCTCTGATATAAAGGATTACGATCCTCCACGTGTCACAAGGCCTGACTGACTTCACTCAGTCAAACACACATCACTGTCTGTCTGAACTCACACAAAGCGTGTGAAATCTGAGAATGGAAGAGATGGAGTGCACGAGAGTAAAAGTGGGAGTGAGAAAATGACTCTACTTCTCTCTTGATTTATTACCTCAGTAAACATTGTAAACATGAGTTTATGGTTTCAAGTCTTCTTT